ATTTGTTTAATAAAAACATAAATAAAAAATAAATAAAAAAGATTTAAAAAAAAAAAAAAAAAACGCTCGCACACCTGTACGAGCTGCCTATGCAAATTACATTCCATCGGGGCACGGTCCCGGACGGCCGGACCCAACATAAATATGCATTCAATAACGATACAAACAACATTTGCCTGCTATACAATCGCACCGAAGACAAATAATATTCTTACCCTTAAATTTCAAGAAATGTCACGGTGATTTATTCGGATCCTGGACAACAATATAGGAATATACGGTTACTGCAGAAACTGAATAAGTTCGATTTCTTCGAGTCGAAATACATCACTTGTCCCCGGGTCGCTAAGGCGGACCCGGGGATAACTCGGCCCCGCTGCATAAGGTCATTTTTGTCTTCATGTGACCCTAACCCTAACCCTTACCCTAACCCTAAACCTAAAAAAAAAAGGCAGGACGCTAAACATGTTCTTTTTTTAAATTTGGCCTTACACACCGGACTTATCTGAAAGGGGGGGGGGGTGCTGGGAACACGCATATATGCGTACCCTAAATAACACTGAGTGGGAGGGGGGTCGATCATGTCATAGTTGCTAAATAACGAGCTCCATGCCTAACCCAGAACATATCACATCTACACAAATGCCAACTGAACCATGGAAAGACTTGACAATTGACTTGTTAGGCCTCTTCCATCAAAATATTATGTAGTTCTGCATAGACTATTATAGTAGATACTAATGAAGTTGAAATATTGAAAGACACAACTAGTGAACGTATTATAGATGCTTTGGAAAATATGCTCTGTAGATTTGGAATACCAGTGTCAGCCACATCGGACAATGGCCCCCAATTTAGATCTGAGGTGTTCAAGATCAAGAAGTATATGAATGAAAACGGTATACATCACCGTCGGACAATAGTCTGCAAGCACAAACCCTGGTCAGTCGTAAAAGTGAGTCTGCACTATAAGACTACTGTAGGCCATGTACTGTAGCTGCAAGCACAAACCCTGGTCAGTCGTAAAAGTGAGTCTGCACTATAAGACTACTATAGGCCATGTACTGTAGCATAGACGTAATGACTGTAGCTGCTCCTGACACAACCAGTAGGTAGCTGGGCTAGACTTCTCTCAAGGCACAATGATTTTTTGATTAAGTGTCAAATTAGGGTCTGTGCCTGCACAACCAGTAGGTAGCTGGGCTACACTTCTCTCAAGGCACAATGATTTTTTGATTAAGTGTCAAATTAGGGTCTGTGCCTGCAGACTAGTCGGACAACGCCCCTGCATCCCGCAGCAAATGGGGAAGTAGAGCGGCATTGCATAATTTATGCTGAAGACAAAGATTGGGAAAATGAAGTGCGTTTCTATACTTTTTTTTGTATGTAGGTGAATGCAGGGAGGTGAAAGAACAGGAGGCGAAACTCTTGTAATTTATTCAAACGCATTCTTGAGTTCTAAAGCGTAACAATGGGATGTGTAACATTCCACTTGGCTTTGAAGTTCCATGCTCCGAACCGCGCTTCCACTGCGGAGAATTTCGTAAGCCAGGCACCAGTTTTACATTTATTACAAAATATCAAATTACCGGCAAAATTACAGTGTAAATTAAAAACTTTATATGGGAATTTTATTGGGAATAGTGCATCAAACAAATTTTCAAATTTAGAACTCCGTCCTGCCTTTTAATTGTGTGCCAGAGTTGGTAAAAGAAAAATTACATCCTGTCAAAAACTCAATATTTTAGGATGATGCGCTAATTTGTGCATGCTTTAAAGTCCCGTTATTTGATCCATGATTTACAATCTTCAATAACATTAAGTTTGCTAATGCGTGTTTTCGCGTGTTTTTTTTTGTATTTTTCAAGTTTAAAAAAGAATGAAATTACACAAGTTTGTGTTCGCTTTTTCTACTCTTTACACATTCAACAATGGATGAGAAATCATTGGAAGGGACAGCGAACAGTTGCTGTGATACCATTTTCTGATGTAGGAATTCTAAATCCTAAAATTTCATGCGCTCTTTTATCTCACCACCTGGTCAACAGCTGCAGATTAGCGCATAACTTTCCGGCGGCTTGGAGCATGGGGTCAAAGGAGAACGGCTTGATTCAAGTCCTTCTCTATCACGTCCCTGGTGAATGTAAAACGTATCGCACAACTCCGCACAGTATTACTGGGGTAACACCTGTTCGTGGTTTAATTGGCATATTTCATATATAGCAGGAAATTCAACTCAGAACATTTTCATGAAATCAGTGCTAGCTAGGTGCACAGCCATATACATTCAAAAAGTGTAATAATGTGCTTTCCTGAACAGAAAAAAGTAATAAGTTTACAAGTTCAAAGAATGATTCAATAGCATCACATGATTCAACAGCATGGGTTATCACAATCTCCCATCTCTACAACAACTTCACACAAAATCCGTTTAAATCTCACAGCTGCATAACCATCCACTCTTGAGAAATACGTAGTGCCAACAGTTGATTATAATTGAGTAAGGTATTCAAAAAGTGTAATAATGTGCTTACCTGAACAGAATAAATATTAAATATTGACAGCGACAATTAATTTGATGTTGTCTAAAAGGAGGTTGGAGACACAAGAGGCTGATGATGAGGAGGAGATAGCTGATTTAGACATGGGTTATGCCATCTCCAAACTAAGAGGTAAAAAGCTTAAGTGCTTTCATTAATACATGTTTAGGATAAGCATTTAACAATTACATCACACATCATTGATACAGATGAAACATTATATAATCATATAAATAACTTTCCCAAATGGAGAAAGATAAACTAAACAATCATAATTAATACAATATGTAGTTATGACTTATGTACATTAACTCATAGGCCATAACACCTATAGGCTAAAAGAATGGAGTGACCCAACCATGGTCATTTCCCCTTTGTCCTAAGCTTGACCAGACCTGACTAATACAGGGACAGTAATTTTCTCCTGGTATGCCCCATACAAGGCACACGTTTGTACTGGTATGCATAGAACATAGGCATATAATTATATACGTACCATGTATCACTGCACTGTAAAGAGCATGCAGGTGAATAGGATAAAGTTATACAATTCATGGACTCACATGTAATATTCCAAACATGACAATATGCATATAACTTTATATATATATATAATATTAATGTAGCACCAAACAGGGGCTACATATTAATTATCCTTTTTAACAATGATACGTGTCCCTTTTCCTTTCTTATAAGGAACTTATCCCTTTCTCATAAATGCCCCTATCAAAATCTGATGGTTGCCTTTTTTCCGTCGACAAATGACCATTTTCCATTCTCATAAGTGCCTTTTTCATCAAGCGCGTAGCCAGGATTTCATTTTAGGGGGGGGGGGGGCGGTAGTGAGCACGCGAATCACTTAAAGAGCGCGCAAAGCGCGCTCCCTAGGGGGGTGGGTGCAGGGAGGGGGAGTTCCCCCCCCCCTCCCGCGCGAAGCGCGTAAGCTTTGAAAGAAGACGATTCGTTGTACCTTTTTCGACTCATAATCCTTGTCTGAATTCAGTCCCTCCCCCCTCCCACGCGAAGCTTTGACGTTTCATTAAAATATTAGAGAAAAGAGACGATTCGTTGTACCTATTTTCCCGACCCATTATCCTTATCTGTATTCAGTCCCCCTCCAGCGCGAAGCGCGGAAGCTTTGAAGAAGACGATTCGTTGTCCTTTTCTCGACTCATAATCCTTGTCTGAATTTAGTCCCTTCCCCCTCTCACGCGAAGCTTTGACGTTTTATTAAATTATTAGAGAAAGAAGACGATTCGTTGTACCTTTCTCGACTCTTAATCATTGTCTGAATTCTGTTCCCCCCCCCCCCCCCTCTCGTGCGAAGTTTTGACGTTTCATTAAATTATTAAAGAAAGAAGACGATTCGTTGTACCTTTTCCGACCCTTAATTCTAAATTTGAACTAAGTTCCCCCTTTCCGCGCGAAGCGCGGAAGCTTTGATGATTCGTTGTACCGTTCTCGACTCCTTTTCCCTTTTTCTTCCTACGTCCTCTTTTTTTTCTTCTCCTCTTTCTCTCTCTTTTTTTTTTGGCCGGCGTTTTTTTTTTTTTTTTTTTTTTTGGGGGGGGGGGGGGGCGACCGCCCCCACCCCCCACCGCCCCCCCCCCCTGGCTACGCGCCTGTTTTTCATCCCTGGTGAGTGCCCCACTTTCACCTCGGGTAATTACCCTTTGTACTTTGACAGGTGCTCCTTTTATGTTCCAATCCCTTTGATAAGTGTCCCCTTTTCCTCTCATCATTAAACGTGCCTCTTATTTCAAGCGACTAAGAGCAATATCTCCCAAAGCTCGCTCGCTACACTCGCCCACATTTATAAATGTTTAATATAATTATGTTACTTATCAAAGGTCTTTTCAGTCTGCTGTTTTGAGAATGTGCTTATTTATAACCCGATGAGGATTGGGTTTTCCTCGTATGAGATCAGGGGTATGTGAGTTAAACTCACATATCCCTGATGAGATGTAGTTTTCGCACTGCGACCTCACAAATCTTTGTTTATCCTCGCTCGCTTTGCCCGCTCGCAAATAGTTTTTTTTTCGACCATCATGCAATAAGGTGCTTAGCAATATTTTATACGATGTATACAAAGAAACAAATAATGAAATCATCCCTGATATTAATGTAATCATGCAAAGTACTTATAGGAGTATACCAATGTCATGAAATAACAGGAATCTGGGCTCGCCGTGGTACGAAAAGTAGGGACTTTTAGATTTGCACAACGACAATGTGGATTGCTACGATCGACGTCCTTTTAATGCACAGCTGTATAAGTCCACGCAAATCTAAAAGTCCCTACTTAGACGCGGGCGGACGGGGACGCTAATTTATTCCCCGCCCGCCCGCCCGCGTCTAAACATGTATATTTTTTAATGGCCCAATGGAGGGATCGGATGTGAGATATATAACAAAATCTTACTCTTTTGGGGATGAAAATCTTTTCTGTAAAAGTTTCTATCTGGTATTTTTTTTTTCTGTTGTAAAATATTAATCACGTTTTGATTTCGCGAGGTTTCCTAAAGTGATTTTAAACTTAAAGCGAGAAAATTAAAAAGCACAGTGTTTCCCCCATGCTGGCCATATATTATGCGGCTTGATAAATGGCGTTTCATACAATTTCTCAAGTGGACTTCTGCTAGCGCACGCTCGCTCGGTGAGAATAAGAAATGTTTTCTACTTTTCTTCTTCGTTTATTCGTCTCTTTTTATCTGTAGAATAGACCGGGGTGGTACCAACTAATTATATTTAATTTCCATTTCGTTTGCTAGTTATAAGCTCCTGACGAAGCTGAAAATGGTTTAAGAAGGAGGTTTCTGCAGCACAATTTCGGAATCGGGTGCGGTGACGGCTGGCCTGGGTCACCTGCGCACATATTGGCCATGCAGAGCTTCGGCCGAATTGAATGCCAAGGTTCCGCTGAGTTCTGCTGTGTTAAGCGTGATCGCGTGAGCGACTCAGTCTAGGCTACTCTAGATCTCTAGCTCACTCCAGCAAAGCATAAAAAGTCAAGGCTAATGCGTATTGACCTCTAGCCCTACATGCTTGCTGTGAGGCAGGTATTATTAGACACATACACAAATATACCCACCACACAATATTGCATAGACTGTACACAATCATGTCAATGCAGCTGTAGTAGCAATGTTTGACACTAGACTTACAATTTAAATTTTTAAATTATTCTTTTTAACATCAGTAAGTTAAAAAAAGTGTATTTTACTGCTATTTAGGTGTCATCAATTGTCACTAATGTTGAGAATCAAAAGCACAGCTTTTACTATACACAGCCAGGATATTGGATAGTGATGCTCCTAATATGTGTGTCTCTAGCTAGGAGTCTAGCTCACTTTTCTTTACACTTGTAACTATTTATTAAACTTTGAAAGAAAAAAAAATGGAAGTTATTTTGTAGAGTGTGTGTGGTGGGGGATGCCCCTATATACTTAACGTATTGTAACCCCTCTATTGATCTGTAATTGGCTCATTTCTTTTCTATATGGTAATTTGGGTTTGCTTGGTAGGTCTTCGTCTGATTGGACATTATAACAATTATTTATAAATGGAGACCCTGTGTAGAGGAGGGTCATTAAGAACCAGCTGTACTTTTATTCATATAAGAGTAGGGGGAAACCCCGGTGTAGTGGTCTGCCTGCACAACCCCAATCAATTATACAGGGAGGGGCTATAGATCGAGACCCAAGGGTTACAGTGCATGATTTTGTTCGCTTTTCGCCTCCCAGTCAGAGGTGACACCAATAATTAATAATATAAATATTTATTCAGAATTGCATCTTACCCTGGCCCGCTCTCTCCCCTTTTGTATACACTCTTGGTTCCTATCCCACGTAAAAGAAGTTTACTTTCGACTGAAATGAATGAAACAAAGCCCCGGCCCCAATAAGAAAAAGAATTAAAATCAGAAAATTGAGAGAATAGCTGAGTAAACATCATGATGGTAACACTAGATGACTTGTATTGGGTCAATGTCGCTATTCATAAGGACCGCTATTCATAAGGTCCGCTATTCATAAGGTCCATTATTCATAAGGACCGCTATTCATAAGGTCCGCTTTTCATAATTGGAGAAAAGGGTCATTATTCATAAGGGTCATTATTCATAAGGACCGCTATTCATAATCAAAGAAGAGGGTCGGTATTCATAATATTAGAAGAGGGTCGCTATTCATAATAGGAAAACGGGGTCGTTATTCATAAGGGTCCCTATTCATAATATTACAAAAGGGTCGGTATTCATAACACAGAAAGAGGGTCGCTATTCATAATACGAAATGAGGGTCGCTATTCATAATACAAAATGAGGGTCGCTATTCATAATGCAAAATGAGGGTCGTTATTCATAAGGGTTATTATTCATAAGGGTCATTATTCATAATAAGAAATGAGGGTCGCTATTCATAAAAGGAGAAGAGGGTCGCTATTCATAATAGAAGAAGAGGGTCGCTATTCATAATAGGAGAAGAGGGTCGCTATTCATAATAAGAAATGAGGGTCGCTATTCATAATATGAGAAGAGGGTCGCTATTCATAATAGGAAATGAGGGTCGCTTTTCATAATAAGAAATGAGGGTCGCTATTCATAATAGGAGAAGAGGGTCGCTATTCATAATAGGAGAAGAGGGTCGCTATTCATAATAGGAGAAGAGGGTCGCTATTCATAATAAGAAATGAGGGTCGCTATTCATAATAGAAGAAGAGGGTCGCTATTCATAATAGAAGAAGAGGGTAGCTATTCATAATAGGAGTAGAGGGTCGCTATTTATAAAAAGAAATGAGGGTCGCTATTCATAATATGAGAAGAGGGCCGCTATTCATAATAGGAAATGAGGGTCGCTTTTCATAATAAGAAATGAGGGTCGCTATTCATAATAGGAGAAGAGGGTCGCTATTCATAATAGGAGAAGAGGGTCGCTATTCATAATAGGAGAAGAGGGTCGCTATTCATAATAAGAAATGAGGGTCGCTATTCATAATAGAAGAAGAGGGTCGCTATTCATAATAGAAGAAGAGGGTCGCTATTCATAATAGGAGTAGAGGGTCGCTATTTATAAAAAGAAATGAGGGTCGCTATTCATAATAGGAGAAGAGGATCGCTATTCATAATAGAAGAAGAGGGTCGCTATTCATAATAGGAGTTGAGGGTCGCTATTCATAATAAGAAATGAGGGTCGCTATTCATAATAGGAGAAGAGGATCGCTATTCATAATAGAAGAAGAGGGTCGCTATTCATAATAGGAGTAGAGGGTCGCTATTCATAAAAAGAAATGAGGGTCGCTATTCATAATAAGAAATGAGGGTCGCTATTCATAATAAGAAATGAGGGTCGCTATTCATAATAGAAGAAGAGGGTCGCTATTCATAATAGAAGAAGAGGGTCGCTATTCATAATAGGAGTAGAGGGTCGCTATTCATAAAAAGAAATGAGGGACGCTATTCATAATAGGAGAAGAGGATCGCTATTCATAATAGAAGAAGAGGGTCGCTATTCATAATAGGAGTAGAGGGTCGCTATTCATAATAAGAAATGAGGGTCGCTATTCATAATAGGAGAAGAGGATCGCTATTCATAATAGAAGAAGAGGGACGCTATTCATAATAGGAGTAGAGGGTCGCTATTCATAAAAAGAAATGAGGGTCGCTATTCATAATAGGAGAAGAGGATCGCTATTCATAATAGAAGAAGAGGGTCGCTATTCATAATAGGAGTAGAGGGTCGCTATTCATAATAAGAAATGAGGGTCGCTATTCATAATATGAGAAGAGGGTCGCTATTCATAAAAAGGAGAAGAGGGTCGCTATTCGTAATAGAAGAAGAGGGTCGCTATTCATAATAGGAGTAGGGGGTCGCTATTCATAATAAGAAATGAGGGTCGCTATTCATAATAGGAGAAGAGGGTCGCTATTCATAAAAGGAGAAGAGGGTCGCTATTCATAATAGAAGAAGAGGGTCGCTATTCATAATAGGAGTAGACGGTCGCTATTCATGATACGAAATGAGGTTCGCTATTCATAATACGCCCCCCCCCCTCGGCTACGTTCCTAGTCCTGTAGGGGGGCGATATATAGCCCTGAATAGTTGTCTCTTTTTAAAGTAACTATATTTTATCTGTTATCTTTGATAATTATATAGAGCCAACGCCCGCTCATGTGGTGACGAAAAAAAAGTAAAACATAACACACATGTAATCCTATCGTAAATTTTCCTCCTTGTTGGAAACCTTGCCCCATCACCCTGCCCCCGACTGATCTTATCCAGGCTACGCCACTGAGATATTAAGTACGCCAAGCAGGCCCATTATCCATTTTAGCTTGCTATTTAAGAAACTAGTAATTGTTTATACGACAATAATGTTTTTGTAGAAAGTAATTTTTATTAGGACTTATGGACCTACAAATTACTGAGCGGAATTGGACCTGACAATTGGACCTAAGCCCAGTATTTACCGATCCCCCGAGCCCCCCCCCCCCCCATCAGTACGCCCCGGCGCGGATCCAGAATTTTCCAATTGGGGGGGGGGGGGACGGAAATTTGAAAAATGCGCAGACCGTTTTTTCAACTCAACATACCAATACTGACAAGGTCATATTAGAAGCACGATACGGGTACCTAGAAGCAGGAACAATTTTGGAAAGGGGTGCAAGCTCACTTCACGTCTCTTGTCCGATATCAACATTCCCCGTTTTTAAGATATACATTTTTTTGACATTTTCATCTGGGGGGGGGGGGGCTAAAGCCTCTTGCGCGATTATTTTCTAGTTCACAATTCTGCTTGTGAGCAAAACGAGCGAGCAAAAATTTGAGCATTATATGTTTTTTGTGAAAGTGTTATTTATCACCAAGATAAACGAGAAAAGATATCAAAAATTCATATTCGGGCAGCTTGCTGTCCCCCCCCCTCCCCTCCCCCACCCATTACGCGCGAAAGCTTTGAACTTTCATTAATTATTAGAAAAAGAAGACGATTTATTGTACCATTCTCGACTCTTAGTCCTTGTCTGAATTCAGTTTTCCCCCTCGCTTTTACCTTTCATTAATTATTAGAGAAAAATTACGATTTGTTGTACCGTTCTCGACTCTTAATAATTGTCTGAATTCTATTCCCCCCTCTTGCGCAAAGCGCGTAAGCTTTGACCTTTCATTGTTTAATGCAATTATTAGAGAAAGAAGATGATTCGTTGTTCCATTCTTGACTCTTAATCCTTGTCTGAATTCAGTTTCCCCCCTCCCGCGCAAAACGTGGAAGCTTTGATGTTTCATTAAATTATTAGAGAAAGAAGAGGATTTGAAGAGAAATGAATATATGAATAGCGACCCCTTACTCCTATTATGAATAGCGACCCTCATTTCATATTATGAATAGCGACCCTCTTCTCCTATTATGAATAGCGACCCTCTTCTCCTATTATGTATAGCGACCATCTACTCCTATTATGAATAGCGACCCTCTTTTCCTATTATGAATAGCGACCTTCTTCTTCTATTATGAATAGCGACCCTCTTCTCCTATTATGAATAGCGACCCTCATTTCCTATTATGAATAGCGACCCTCTTCTCCTATTATGAATAGCGACCCTCTTCTCCTATTATGAATAGTGACCCTCTTCTTCTATTATGATTAGCGACCCTCATTTCCTATTATGAATAGCAACCCTCTTCTCCTTTTATGAATAGCGACCCTCTTTTCCTATTATGAATAGCGACCCTCTTCTCCTATTATGAATAGCGACCCTCTTCTCCTATTATGAATAGTGACCCTCTTCTTCTATTATGATTAGCGACCCTCATTTCCTATTATGAATAGCAACCCTCTTCTCCTTTTATGAATAGCGACCCTCTTCTCCTATTATGAATAGCGACCCTCTTCTCCTATTATGAATAGCGACCCTCTTCTCCTATTATGAATAGCGACCCTCTTCTCCTATTATGAATAGCGACCCTCTACTCCTATTATGAATAGCGACCCTCTACTCCTATTATGAATAGCGACCCTCTTCTTCTATTATGATTAGCAACCCTCGTTTCCTATTATGAATAGCGACCCTCTTCTCCTATTATGAATAGCGACCCTCTTCTCCTATTATGAATAGCGACCCTCTACTCCTATTATGAATAACGACCCTCTTCTTCTATTATGATTAGCGACCCTCATTTCCTATTATGAATAGCGACCCTCTACTCCTATTATGAATAGCGACCCTCTTCTCCTATTATGAATAGCGAACCTCATTTCGTATTATGAATAGCGACCCTCTTCTCCTATTATGAATAGCGACCCTCTTCTCCTATTATGAATAGCGACCCTCTTCTCCTATTATGAATAGCGACCCTCATTTCCTATTATGAATAGCGACCCTCTTCTCCTATTATGAATAGCGACCCTCTTCTCCTATTATGAATAGCGACCCTCTTCTCCTACTATGAATAGCGAACCTCATTTCGTATTATGAATAGCGACCCTCTTCTCCTATTATGAATAGCGACCCTCTTCTCCTTTTATGAATAGCGACCCTCTTCTCCTATTATGAATAGCAACCCTCTTCTCCTATTATGAATAGCGACCCTCATTTCCTATTATGAATAGCGACCCTCTTCTCCTATTATGAATAGCGACCCTCTTCTCCTATTATGAATAGCGACCCTCTTCTATTATGAATAGCGACCCTCATTTCCTATTATGAATAGCTACCCTCTTCTCCTATTATGAATAGCGACCCTCATTTCCTATTATGAATAGCGACCCTCTTCTCCTATTATGAATAGCGACCCTCTTCTCCTATTATGATTAGCGACCCTCTTCTCCTATTATGAATAGCGACCCTCATTTCCTATTATGAATAGCGACCCTCTTCCCGTGTTATGAATAGCGACCCTTATAAGTAATGAACCTTATTTCGTATTATGAATAGCGACTCTCTCGTCGTATTATGAATAGCGACCCTGATTTCATATTATGAATAGCGGTCCTTATGATTAATGACCCTTAATATGAATTATGAATAGCGACCCTCATCTCACGTTATGAATAGCGGTCCTTATGATTAGCGAACCTTATTTTATTATGAATAGTGACCCTCTTTTGCCATTATGAATGGCGGACCCGGAAGTACGGGAATTTGCACGTTATGAATAGCGGTCCTTATGAATAGCGGACCTTATGAATAGCGGTCCTTATGAATAGCGAATAGACCCCCTTGTATTTGTAGGTACTGCACAAAACGCCCTGATACGAAGTGGCTATCGAGGTAGACAGAAATAGCTGTCTGATATGGGTCATTCTTTAATAAAAACTGACATTTGTCGTCATAATCGGAGGTCTAGTGGAGCCAGACGTAGTCTCAATGGAACAACCAACGATATAGAGAGACTGAAGCTTTTATTTTACTATCGTGGCAGCTATCGACATACTGTAATGGATTTGAAGGTAGTAAAATGAAAGTCAATTCCTTTTATCTTTTTCCATCTTGTTTTCTGCAGGTGAAGCAAAGGAGGTTGATCCTGATAGGAGGAGGCGTTTATCGGCCATTGATGCCATTTGTAAGTTTGCATCTCTTTTTTATATATTTATTTATTTTCTATTTATTTATTTCTGATGTTTATACAGGTTGGGACACTTCACAAATTATGATGGTGTCGCTTAAATAAGACCCTGTTTGTAAACACTCTCCCTTGAGGCATTTAAGTCCTCACTGGGAAAGAAGCACCCCTAACTGCCCTCACAGGATTAAAGTTTTTTACTCGCACCCTGTACATATATGCACAATGATCCTGGTCAGCAGGCTCACATGTAGGCTCCTCACAGGCACATGCACAAGACCTTGAAGCAGCACTTTTCTTGGAAGAAGAAGAAGAATGCTATAACAATCAATAAAAACAGATAACAGCAACAACCAAAAATAGAGAAATAAATACACACACACATATATATATATATATATCACACATGTATACAATTAATTGGTATCCTCATGAAAAGCAGATTTTTTTCAAGATAATATTGTTGCACATTTTAATATTCAATTTTTTTTTACAGACAGTTAGATTCCCTAGTCATGTAGGAGCGACCACACTTATATGTAGGAAAGGAATGTTACCTATATTTTGGCCTTCAGACTGATAGGAGCCATGGATTCCTCTCTTTGTCTGAATTTTTTTTGTATTTTCATAACATAACCTAAATTTGCCAAGAGAGATTCATATTTCTTCTTTGGAAGGTATCTGGGTATAGATTGACACAACAAAAGACTGTCACAGTTAGGCAAGGCTCAAAGCTTTATGAGATTCATTTTTTTAATTCTTTAATTAAAAACAGGGTCTGTGGCTACAAGACTATACATTTACCTTTCTATCATATGCCTCGAAATATGCCCCTAAATTCAGTTCATTTCAATTCAGTTCGGTTTAATTCAATTCATTTCAATTCAATTCAATTCCATTCTACTCAATTGAATTCAATTAATTTCAATTCAATTCAATTAATTTCAATTAAATTAAATAGAAGTCAATTCAACTCAGTTCAATTCAATTCTATTCAATTTAATTCAATTCAATTCAATTTAATTCCATTCCATATTCCATTCAATTCAACAATTGATTTCAATTCAATTCAATGCATTTCAATTCCATTCCTTTCAATTCAGTTCAATTCAATAATGGTTTCATTCGTTCAGTAAAATCCTCACTTTGTTTTTCCCCTCTTCCTGGATCTGAGCAGTGAATAAATTCACCAGCAACCCGGCTTCTAACATCAGACTAGTCGGAGGACATACTTCATACGAGGGTAACCTTGAGGTTCGTCTTCGGAATGGGAGTGCCTGGGGCGCCATCTGTGATGACTCCTGGGACGAACAGGATGCAGAAATGGTAAACAACTTTTCTGCTTACATATTTCTCTAGCTGTCTTTGTCTCTCTCACTCTCTCGCTCTCTTTTTCCCTCCCTCTCTCCCATCTCTCTCTCTCTCTCTTTCCCCCTCCTCTCTCTCTGAGTCTCCCTCTGTTTCTTCCTCCCTCTCCCCATCTCTCTCTCTCTCTCTCTCTGTCTCCCTCTGATTCTTCCTCCCTCTCTCGCTCTCTCCCTCTGTCTCTCTCCCCTCCCTATTCCCCCCTCTCTCACTCTCTCTTTCGCTCTTTCTGTCTGTCTTTGTCTATCTGTTTGGCAAACACACTCTCTATCTGTCTCTCTCTCTCTCTCTGAACATCTGTCTCTCTGTCTTTGACAGCCTTTCTCTCCCTACCTCTTTCTGTCTCACTCTCTCTCTCTCTCTCTCTCTTGTGCAGATGTACCTGTTCAATTATGTGGCCACTAGGCAGATTTTGCATTGTACATGTATATGTATCTTTTTAAAAAAAGAGGAGGGGGTGGTGTAAATGTCCCTTGTATTTTGCATGACTTTAAATATGTTCCACTATTTTATTTCTATTAGAAACCTATTGATTTTATTTCTGAATAACATCAGGAAATAGGCCCCATGTACTTAAATGTGCACAAATTTGAGACAACATTTCTCTCTCCAACTACCCCCCCCCCCCCCCCCACCAATCGTGTGCAGATACCTATAAAGAAAATGGTCATGACTCCATGAGTCTATTTCAACCTTTCTCCAAACAATTAAATATACCTACCTTGGAAATATACCTTGGAAGTAGGCATTTAAAGTTAAAAACTTATTTGCCTCTCGTTGACATTCGGATGAAGAATCCATATTTTGACACATGTTGATATGTTGCTTAATGCTTTCGGAAGAAAATTTAATTAATATCACCGAGATATTAGGCATAAGTTATTTTTTTCTAAAATGAAACAAGTAATTAATCATTACTTTTAAAGTTTATGCCTGATTAAAAACACCTGTTATTGAAAGATGCGCAGAAGAGAATCTGAGTGATATGGTTTGAAATGAGGGGGTTTGAATTTTGAATTTTATACATTGCAATATTTTTCAAGAGAAGGGGAACGGCCCTTAATCCTATGCATGAGTCATGACAGTAACTAACCCTGGGGGTGTTTCACAAAGGCTAAAATCGACTTAAGTTGGACTTGGACTATATGGCAAGCCATTCATGCCACTGGTTGCTCTCACCATTGGTCTCTCAAGGACGTCACAAATCTACAGTATTTACATTTTTGAGAGTTTTTGTTGAAGAAAAGAAGTTACTTACGTTGTAAACTTAAATTCTATTTAGGACTTGGACTCATACTACCGTATGCGATTTATGCCCTTAAAAAGTCTTGAACCAGATGTAAAGTTGGATGGAAAAAACCTTAGCAATTATGATCGAGGACGCGTGGTAGCTCAGTCGGTAGAGTAGTGGTCTTGTAATCCAGTGACCCGGGTTCGAAACCAAAGCGATGCGCTAGTGCCCTTTGGTAAGGTATTAATCCTCATTACCAGATCCCTCAGAGAGGACCTAAAGCCACCGGCCGTCTGGTTGCTTACTTACAAGCATTTATGCTTTCTAAGCACTCAGGTAAAATAACCACCACCATTCATTCATTCATTCATCTATAAATACATTTTTCTTCAATAATAAAAAATTGTTAATTCTGTACATTTGTAACCATAATATGTATGGTTAGAGGTTAGAGGCATGAACGGCCTGCCATAGTTCAAGTTCAACTTAAGTCGATCTTAGTCTTTGTGAATCACTCCCCTGTTATATCAATGTTCCCTCTCTTCACTGCCGTTGTCAGGCATGTCGGACCCTCGGCTTTCAAGGGTCGATGGGTTCCACCACGCTGAGTTACTTTGGGGATACATCAGAGGACTATAATCTGGATGAAGTCCGGTGCAAGGGTCGTGAGCAGGATTTCTTCCAGTGTTCCCACCTGCCTTTTGGTCTACACAACTGTGAGAAAGGGGAGATCGCTGGCGTAAGATGCATACCAGGTCAGTCTGTCCTCAAGCAAGGCATTTCATGCACATTGCCCCCCTCCATTCGGGTGTTAAGTGGGTACGTGATAGGATGAAAACATCAGTTAATGCATGACATGCATGTGTTTGCCCCAAAATATGACTTTAAACTAAAATGCAGAATCTTTCTGAATGAGAAAATGGAGATAGTCTATATGGAGACTTTGACTTCAAGCCGGGTTCCCCAAAACTCCTTGAAGAGGACTGTGAATGCATTTTAGGTCGTGGGTTTTAGCTCCATCACAGCATTTTAAAGTGACTCGATTGGTAACATTGCCTCAGATTCTGGAACAAAATCCGGGATTTAGCTCATGTTGCAATCATAATTATAATCCTTTAGGTCAGTCATGCAGGAATCCCATAACTTTTACAAGCCGATCGCCTGTCTGATTATCAAGATATTTATGATTGGAAATGGGAATTTCCTTTTTTTTTCTTTCTTATGGATTTTATAACACTACGCTTCTACAGCTAGTCCATTGGGGAAATGTGAAACCGGTCACTCAAAGATTTTTACTTTTTTGAGGCAACTTCATGGCCATGTTGAACCGCAATTTTTTTAGGGCTTCAATATTACACCATATAACAGACACTGATAACACGTAGGGTCATGCATCTCATATTAAACAATGTACTTGAGCAAGCCGTTTTATCTTCATCAAACTATATACAGTGTAGCACTTAAAGACCAATGTCTATAAATGCTTTACAAGTTTTTTAATCTACACATCTAATTATTTACACCATTTATTCATTTGTGCTTGCTTGAGGAGTATTCCTTTACTTCAAAAGCAAAAGGACACTTTTGTCAAAATCACAAATTAAAGTTGATGCCGACTTTTTTCAAAATTTTGTATCAACGCACAATAAATGTTTGATATTAGGAGAAATGTGGGGTTTATCACAAGCTGCTTCGATGGAAGCATGCCAAGAGCATTCTTAGTTGTGAAAGTATGCAAAAATTGCATCCTTTTCATCGCTCTGCGAGAAGTTTTTAACTAAATCCATTGCTCTCCTTTTTGCAGACATTCGTCTACGAGGCAGTAAGAACATCCGTGAGGGTCGAGTCGAGATCAACTATAACGGGGACTGGGGTACGATATGCGACGACTCATGGGACATCTCCGACGCCGGTGTCGTCTGCCGCATGATCGGGTATCCTAACGCCACGGCGGCGCCCATGGCAGCACGGTTCGGTCCCGGCGAAGGAGAGATCATCTTGGATGAGGTTCGGTGCGAAGGATCTGAAAGAACAGTTCAGAGTTGTCCTCATAAAGGATTTTTGGAGCAAAATTGTGACCATGGGGAAGATGCCAGTGTGATATGCGACCTCAGTAAGATGAAATTTAGAATTAATTGTAATGGTGATAATTATAGTTCTTATTAAGTAGGAAAGTTTGTTTTGCCACTGGATAAAAGCATGTTGCAATGTTCCTTGTGGTTCAGGGTCAGAGTTCAATCATGTACAAGTTAGCAAGCACTGGGAGTGTAAGTTCAGTGAAGCTCTCATCATCATCATCATCATCACTATCATCATCATTATCATCATCACCATCATCATCATCATCACCATCATCATCATCATTATCACCATTATCATCATCACCATCACCATCATCATCATCATCATCACCATCATCATCATCATCACCATCATCACCATCATCATCACCATCATCATCATCATCACCATCATCACCATCATCATCATCATCATCACCATCATCATCATCATCATCCCTATCATCATCATCATCATCACCATCATCATCATCATCATCCCTATCATCATCATCATCATCGAGTACAGGATGTAGGTGGTTGCCTGTAATTACCTTTTGCTACCTCTGACATCATCACTTGAGAAATATAGTGCCTTTGCAGGCCGGGAGGAGTCGGGGAAGGTCAAAATGATTCCACCAGAATGCGCTTTGCGTTTGATCTGTTCCACTGAATGATTTAAGATGAGAAGGGCACATGTTCCATAGTTTTGAACATACCATTTTTATAAGATAATTCCTGTCTTGAATTCATACATCTTTTTAAAAGTACTTCACGAGAGTACCTTCATGTACATGTAGATGTATGCTAGCCGGTGATACACAAACCTTACTGTGTCTTAAACAAAATTGTTATTGTTATTTAATTTTAACAGCATCAATATATAATGAGCCATCAATTCATGAATCTTATATTTCTTTAGACCTGCGTCTTGTGAATGGCACCTCACCAGGGCAGGGACGCGTGGAGGTATACCACGCCGGCGAGTGGGGGACAGTCTGCGACGACCGGTGGAGTCTGGAGAACATCAACGTAGTCTGCCAGGCTCTGGGATACCCTGTAGCCAGCGAGGATAACCTACCGCTCCAAACCAGCTTCGGACACGGCATGGGGAATATTATCCTTGATGATGTGACGTGTTTGGGCAACGAGACGGATCTCTTTGAGTGCCAGCACGAGCGGTATTTTGAGACTAACTGCGGGCACAGTGAGGATATTAGTGTGACCTGCCTTCCAGGTAAGATAATGTTATTTGTATAATGATGATAACAATAATTAAAAATGATGATGGTGGTGATGATGATAGGGATGATGGTAGTTATGATTATGATGGTGATGATGACGATGGTGATGATAATGGTGATGATGATGATGATGACGATGATGATGATGAAGTTGATATTGTTGTGAGGATGTTTACTTTACCTTTTCTTCTTGGACCATGCTTTCCAATAGGGTATCATTGTAGTATTTCTAACTCTACTCTGTACTTTTTTTCAAGAAAGACAACATCCTTTTTCACATAACTTGCCATTGTTTTATTTCTTACCTGATATTATAAATTTGTCACTTCCCGGCCTTTTCATGTATTCTTCGGTTTTGTACCCTGATATATAACACAACAATGTAAGGTCCCAATTTCCTTGTTATAAAGAGTTTGAACTGTATAACTATATTCAATTCAATTCAATTCGTTTTTATTCATCTTCATTTTCAATAAAACAATACAAAGATATATACAATAATGAGCATTTGCAATATATAAGAAAATGAAAATATGGAAATGAAGAAAAGTCCAAATGGCCCTGTGGCGGCACAGTTCCTCAAACAGTATGTAACAGATTTACATATATACAAACAAAACTGAAATAGAAGCATACATCACAAAACATGACAGGGATATCGTTCATGGCTGGTAATACAATTGGAAATAATCATTGCAAAATCATAAGTTTGAAAACAGGTAATAATATATTATATAATTATTGGTACAAGAATCATTGATATTTAGATGTTAGATGATGCTTTAAGTTTTAAGTATAACTCTATCATATGATGCTCTCCGTAGTGGTTCGTCTGGTTGGCGGTAGAGCACCTGAAGAGGGCAGGCTTGAGGTGTACCATGATGGACAATGGGGGACGGTCTGCGACGATGGGTGGGATATGAACGATGCCAACGTCGTGTGTCGCATGCTTGGTTACGCTGCTGCAGCGGACCCTCTCCTGACCGTCTTCCAGCTGGGCAGTGGGAACATCTTCCTGGATGAGGTGAATTGCCATGGCAACGAGACGAATATCTGGGACTGCGAGAGCGAAGGACTGATGGTCCATAACTGTGGGTCCAGCGAGGATGTAGGGCTGCGATGCAAGACAGGAGGTGAGGTGCTTGAAATTGGTACATAGACCAAGATAGATAATAATCGGCCTAATAGTTTATGTCACACCAAGTATCATCTTCTAGGTTCTGTACAAATTGCTGTAGTTTATTAACAAAATGAATACATTTACCCGTAATTAATCTACCCAGTAGTCATAACATGAAAAAGAGGGACAAAAAAAAAAAAGCAGGTATAATAATATGATTGCAGGGCCCTCAGGGAGAACAGCCTTGCTGAGCACCTTTCAATATGTGTTAGGTATGAGCACTGTACAAGAATCCACTATTTTCTTAGTCTGATTCTGGTCATTCTTTCAGTGCCTTCCACTCACGAACCTGTCTCGGAGCTTGAGGTACGGCTAGTCGGAGGTCGAGGAGATCGTCAGGGTCGCGTCGAGGTCTTCTACAACGACGCATGGGGGACGGTCTGCGACGACTCGTGGGATATCAAGGATGCGGACGTTATCTGCCGGATGCTTGGCTTTCCAGGGGCCGAGTCGGCGCTTCTGTCAGCATTCTTCGGAGAAGGGCCAGGCAGCACAGTCCTGGATAATGTTGGATGTACAGGAGAGGAAGATAACATTGCGCAGTGCATTCATAATGGAATGATGGTGGAGAATTGTGGCCACCATGAAGATGCAGGCGTGGTGTGCTCTCCGTGGGGTAAGGAACAATTTAATAATAAATACGCTTGAGTGTTCTAATAGAGGTGTCGTGGTAGAGTGGATACGTCGCCGGACTGTCGATCACAAGGTCCGCGGTTCGAGTCCCGCCGCGGCACTATTATCCTTTGGCAAAACATTGATCTACTTTTGCCACATTCAACCCAGGTGATGTAAATGGGTACCTGGCAGGATTTAATTCCTTGAAATGCTTGAGCGCTGTATAAACGGCAGCTAGGCTAAAGTCGGTGTAATAATAAATGCACCTCGGAATAGAATTATCTAGATAGATGGCGCTATAGAAATGCCTATAATTATTATTATTATTATTAATACTGATGTTGCAATGAATCTGTTGGGACTGAAAAGAGTTTGCCTTTTTGTAAAATTTGACTGAGGAAGGGTATATGACATATGTTATGCATAATCTTAATAGTAAAAAATGTTTATTAGCCTAAGGAAAACTTATAATTGTGATAAGATTACTTTCTACTTTAATCTGATCTGCCGTTGGACAGTGCGTTTGGTGAACGGCAGTCACTACCGTGAGGGCCGGGTTGAAGTCTACTACAACAGAGAATGGAGCACAGTCTGCAGCGATGAGTGGGGGATCCACGACGCAGAGATCGTATGCCAGATGCTCGGTTTCCCGGGGGTTGAAGGTTACCGCGTCTCCGGAGAATACGGCGCAGGCACGGGAAAGATAATACTGGACAATGTTCACTGTAATGGGAGTGAGGCGAATATCTTTGAGTGCGGCCACAACGGTCTGTTTGTTCACAACTGCAGACATTCAGAAGATGCAGGTGCCGTATGCTCCTCTAGAGGTTAGTACAGTGAAACCTGCATGTAGAGGTGTTGTGGTCTAGTGGATAAGTCACCCGACTGCAGATCACAAGGTACAGGCTTCGAGTCCAGCCGTAGCACTAATGTCCTTTGGCAAAAATTTAATCTACATTTGCCACTCTCAACCCAGGTGTTAAATGGGTACCCAGTAGGATGCGAAAATTAATGGGATTAGATGAGCAAGTGTGCGCTTAAATGACGCCTGGCTTGAATGCTCCCCAGGGAGTAGAGGAACGTGCATACATTGTGTGCAGGCAAGCCTAAATCAGATGACCGGGGTAATAACATATGTGTAAAGCGCTTAGAGACATCACTGATGTATTAAGCGCTATATAAAGCAACAATATTGAGATTACGGACCGCTCAAGCAGGCCTGATAAAAACCCGATTTAAATCGGTTTCCCGATTTTTTTTATTTTTCCCGATTTTTTCCCGATTTTTTTTTTCTTCCCGATTTAAAAAAAAAAAAAAAAAAAAAAAAAAAAAAAATCTTTTTTTTTTTTTATTTTTTTTTTTACTAATTTTTTTTTCCTTCCCTATTTTATCCTGATTTTCCCGATTTCCCTCTTATTATCTCTATTCTTCCCTATTTTTCCCCCAATTTTCCCAAGTTTGTCTCAATTTTCTTACTCGAAAGGGGGGAATGTTGTTAGATGCCATTTTTTCCCCGCGAATCGTCTTTTTTTTTTTTTACTCAAGGGGGGCGGGGTTGAGGGGAAAACAAAAAACCTATTTTTTTTTTAGTGCTCACTATCACCCCTGTCAAGAAAGACAAGAAAAGAGGTCTTATAGGCAGGTAGTTTTTATGTACAAGTTTTGTTAGTACATGTTAAAATGAGAAACTATGTTCTCTGGGGGTGTTTTACAAAGATTCTAAGTCTGACTTAACAATTATGGAAAGCCGGTAGCATCTTTGAAAATATTTTGTACAAGTTATTTTAAAAGGCATAAAAATGCTCCAGAATGCTCCAGAAGTATGAATTAGGATCTTTGTGAAACATCCTCCTGATAGATTAGTGATGTATCTCATACCTGAATCATATGCGCATATAAGCCCAAAACAAAAACAACAAATTAGGTTACACAGCTATCCTGGAAATCAAAAGAAAGAAGGAAAATGAGTTCCCCATTTCATTTTCTAAATTTTTTTATAAATTAATTTGTATCTTTTGTATCAATGTAATTTTCAATCAAGAATGAAATAAATGCGAATTGAATAGAATTGAATTGAACTGTATCATATGTATCATAAGTGTACATGTGTATTATTGACATGTTCTGTGTAAAGATTGACTCAATCCAAAATTCTTTGATAACAATCTAGTCCGTCTCGTCGGTGGAATAAACGGCAACGAGGGCCGGGTTGAGCTCTATTACAACAACGCCTGGGGGACCATCTGCGATGACGAGTGGGGAATACCGGACGCGGACGTGGTCTGCAGGATGATGGGTTTCTACCGGGCGGAGAGCATCCCATTGGCGGGGAGATACGGACTTGGGCGGGGCCAGATCATCCTGGATACGCTCATGTGTAATGGAACGGAGGATAATATCCTGGATTGTGAACATGACGGTCCACTCAAACATAACTGTGACCATGAAGAGGATGCAACTGTGATTTGCTTAGGTATATCTACATGTAGTTCCAACCTTTGATTTTGTATTAAACGTTTTAGACTTGTTGTGGATGTCAATCACCCCCTCAATGTATACCCAGAATGGTACTTTATTTATTTGAATGTAAAGTGTTGTTTTTATATTAAAAATGAATTAAGAACAAAACCAAAAAGGTATTTGGTTCTGGTAAGCGAACTGCAATGATATAGAGGGCCTCAGCGCAAATCTCATATTGCACATTTTTCACTTTTTGAGGGGGGGGGGGGCTTTAAAAAATGTTAAAATAAAGGGCAACATTTTCTTGATTAATGCAAAAGGTACAGATACATCTGCCCTTATTTTCCATAATTTTCCCCATTTTTTGCTCAGTTTCCTACTGCATTTTGACATACTTGTATGGTTAATATGTATAACAGAAATCAATTATTTCATCAAAAGCAAGACCAAGAGCACAAATTTCGCCCAGATTTGATGTATATGTTGTTAGCAACCCGTTTCCTGTCTAATAAACGGTGCTCACATCTATTCTACAGCCCCGACCGAGGCGGCGATGATGACCGTGAATATCCGCCTCGTTGACGGAGGCAGCGCACGCCAGGGCCGCGTGGAGGTAGAATACAATGCTGACTGGGGTACGGTTTGCGACGACAGCTGGGATCTGAGGGATGCAGGCGTTGTTTGCCGCATGCTCGGTTTTCCCGGGGCGGAAGACGCCCTCACAGGGGCGTTCTATGGTCAGGGTACCGGGGCTACGGTCCTGGATGATGTGAACTGTGAGGGGAATGAGGAGGACCTGGCGTTGTGTCGACATAACGGGTTCCTGATGGAGAATTGTGGACATAGCGAGGATGCTTCAGTCATCTGTTCTCCGCTTGGTAAGATTGCCTTTTATTCTAATAAATTATCCTTTGGTCTATACCTCGATCCACCGTGTGCTAAAATAAGCATAGTATACAGGTGCTTCAGTTATCTGTTCCCCACTTGGTAAGATTGCTTTTTATTTGACTAAACTCAGAAAGGATGTTTAGATTTTATCCTTGGTCTATATACCTCCACCGTGTGCTAAAATAAGCATAGTAAAGGTGCTTCAGTTATCTGTTTCCCACTTGGTAAGATTGCTTTTTATTGTAATGAACTCAGAAAGGATGTTTAGATGTTATCCTTGGGTCTATACCTACACTGTTTGCTAAAATAAGCAAAGTAGAGGTGCTTCAGTTATATTTTGCTGAGCCATTGGACACGATGTATCGTAGTAGCAGTAGTCATAGTAGTAGCATCAACTGTAAAACCACATCACTCCTTCAAAAGCTTTTCATTTTAAGACTGCTTTTTATCTTCTGTCTCTGTATATATATGTTATGGTAATCGCTCTTTTTGCAAAGCTACTGCTGAACTTTGGAACAGACTACCTTTAAATGTCAAAAACTGTTGAACCGTTAACCAATTCAAAACTAGTTTTAAGACACATTTATTCAAAATTGCTGTCGATGATTAACTAACTCTGTTCACTTTGATGTGTATTCCATATGTATTGTAATTTATAGGTTTATTTGCACTTTTTTTGTTTAATATTTAATTGTTTATCAGTCTATTTTGATCGTAATAGCGCCCAGAGTCTTCATTGGTAAGCGCTTAATAAGTAACGTTTTTATTATTATTATTATTATTATTATAAAGGTCGTTTGGTAAATGGTAACAACTATCGTGAAGGAAGAGTAGAGGCGTACTACGAGGGCGAGTATTTCTCTGTTTGTGATGACTCGTGGGAGATGGAGGAGGCAAGAGTCTTCTGTCATATGCTTGGCTTTCCCGGCGCCGAAGCATTTCACGGCCTGGCCAACTTCGGAGAGGGTGAGGGCGACATTGTCCTTGATAATCTCAACTGCGTCGGGTCGGAGGACAGTCTGTTTGACTGTGAGGGCAGCACACCATTTGATCATAACTGCAAGCACAATGAAGACGCAGGAGTCACTTGCTCACATGGTGGTAAGATTTTAATTTTCATTTTTAGTATCAGGTCTGATAATTACCCGATCTAATTTGGTTTCCTGATTTATTTATTTTTTCCCCAATTTTTTTTTCTTCCCGATTTGTCCCTACTTTTCCTTTTTCCCCCTATTTTTTCCCAATTTTCTTACTCTTGGATTGCCCTGCAGAGAAAGAAAAAGTGTTGTTTCCCAAAGCTTTATACTTGCATGAAAGTGTGATTTTGATTAGTAATGATTATTTACTTTGTCTTCTTTTTCATGGATGATTCTATTTTAGGACCATTTTTACGCTGTAAACATTGTGCAATTAGTCCCCGGACTACTACTTTGTATTTTTGATAAACAACATTGAATTAAATTGAAATTAATATTTGTCAAGTGTACAAAATGATTACCTTGCAATGCCCTAAGAAGAGCAGTATAAATACTGACGAGGTTATACGCCCAGGTCAATAAACCATATAATTATTATGATAACAAAGCAAAAACTACTTAACAGATCATCATATGCATCCTAATACTTAGACTGGAAATCTTGAATGCTTCAGTACATGTAACAAAAAACTAAAAAATTCCTTTGAAAAAATTGTTTGTTGTTATTGATTCCACCTACCAAAGAAATGAATTATTTTTTTAATCAAAAATTTTGTCATCATCTGCAATTGTATTTTGACAGTTCGCCTTGTGAACGGAAGCAAAGCACACGAGGGCAGGGTTGAGGTCTACTACGCCGGGGTATGGGGCACCGTGTGTAACGATGATTGGGATATGAATGATGCTAACATTGTCTGCAAGATGCTGGGCTACTCAGGAGCAGAGATATCTCAGCAGATGGCCTATTTTGGAGAAGGTAAGCAGTTTTTTTTTCCTTTTTTTTTGTGTGCCGAGGGGGTACTGCCAAGGGGGTACTGTTTATATTAAAGTGGCTTAATCACCTTACTGTAGATCATAAGGTACAGGGTTCAAATCCCTGTCCGGCACCAACGTCCTTAAGGAAGACATTAATCTACATTAGTCACTCTCCACCCAGGTGCTATTCTGGTAGAACGCTAATGTAGTTTGCTTAGTATTGTGGGCATCCGTTAAATGGCGCCTGGCTGGAATACTCCCCAGGGAGTGAAGAATGTGCGTACAATGTGTGCAGGCACGTCTGAATCCGATGAGCGGGGAAAATAGTATCTCTGTGAAGCGCTAAGAGACATCACCGACGAGCACTACATAAAGAAGGTGTGTGCGCTCTATAAGTTTACACTATTATTATTATTATTATTATTAATATTATTACTATTATCATTATAAAACTTGAATGAGATATTCAGGACAAAAATAGACTGAGAATGGTTTTGCCCACTCCCCAACTTTTGTAAAAGAAGGTCTGAATTTTAAGAGAGAGAGGAGTTGTATTATCTACAATCACTGAATGCAGCTGTTATCCTTTGTAGATGTGTTGTATAAGTATGGAAATTTAGGAACAATATGTAACTACTGAGAGGCTTCTAGAATTAAAAGATTTGTACAGAAATGGAGTCATTGAGAGGTTCAACAAACTTTAATCATTTTATGTTTTTTTTTCCTTGTGTCATTGCGTAGGTAGGGGGCCGATAGTTTTGGATAACGTAGCCTGCTCTGGGAATGAGTTGAGCATCTTGGATTGTCCTGCGGAGAAGCACTTCAGACACAACTGTGAACATTCGGAAGACGTTGGCGTTGTATGCATAGGTACGTAGATTCTTGAAACACTTTGCATACATTTTACACCTTGATTGTGATATGATTAAATGATGACAGTGATGGTTGAGAGCACAAGATGAAACAATAAGGCTTCTAAAGAGATGATGGTAGTGATGATGAGGATGATGAAAGAACAAAATCATTTATCTCTTGGACATGTGATGATGACTATGGTGATGATGATGATAATAATAGTGGTGATGGTAATGATTATGATGATAATGATGATGCTTACGATGCTGAAGGTGAGGATGGTGATGTTGATGATGAGGCCTAAAATAAAAACTTGGTGTATTGCCCTTTAGGTGCCAAAACATGGGTCGGTCGGTCGGAAAAGATTTTTTTTTAAACTTTTTTTTTGTCATCCTCTTTGGGCCGATGTTTTTCAGTTTTGAATGTTTTTTTTTTTTTTTCGCCCTCTTTTGGCTGATATTTCTCAGTTTTAAATGCTTTAATACATGTGTGTCAGAGTCATCATCCCATTCATATCTTTTTCACCTCATAATAATCCATGGTTTTGCAATGTTGTGTTGAGACAACACTATGTGCTTTCCTGCTGACAAAGTTGGTTTTCAACTACTTGTAAAACTTGCTATCAATATGAATTTTGTTTGGAATAATTTGATTTTATGCATTTATATCCTAAGTCAAACAAAATACATATTTTTTTTATTCATCAATACAAAAAATTCTAAAAAATGGTTAACAAAAAAAAACTTTTTTTAAATGCCGACCGTAGATTTTAAGATTTTTGGGTCGGTCGCAAAGGGCAATACAACAAGTTTTTATTTTAGGCCTGATTGAGAAAAGGTACCTTGTCTCTTTGTCTACCCGTAGTAGTGAAAGATAACGCTTCATTTGTACAGTCTACTATGGTCCTATCCCTGTCAGCATGGTGTACATGTTCATTCGAGTGAGCTTGCATGAAAAAATAATTGCTTTAATTTCCATCTCAAAATATCCTCACATTCCATTCATGTGCAATTTCCTGTTTATTTTTTAGACTGTTTTCTGCATCTCTCTGTCTCTCTCTGTCTCTCTTCGTCGTTTTATCTTTCTCTCTCTTTCTCTCTCTCTCCTCCATATTTACTTATAACATCTGATTTTCCTTCAATTCTGTATTTATATTTTATCATCAGTCTCCATCCGTACCATGTCACTAAATTCATAAACAGTTTTCTGAAATTTATTTTTAATCAGTCAAATAGCATGTTCATCTCTCATGTTGGGAGTCCAAAAAGCATCTATTATTCTATTGTAGGAGGAAGTACAGACCAAGAGTCCAGTCTGCCTGTGCGTCTTGCGGATGGACCCAACACGCGATCCGGCCGAGTTGAGATCAAATACAATGGCGCCTGGGGAACGATCTGTGACGACGATTGGGACATCAACGATGCCGGAGTTATATGTCGGTCCCTCGGCTACCCTGGCGCAGACCAAGCTATACTTCGTGGCCGTTTCGGACCTGGAGAGGGCGATATAGTTCTGGATAATGTGAATTGCAGTGGTTCGGAGGTGAACGTTGAGTCGTGCTTACACAGTGACTTCCTGCAAAATAACTGTGGCCATGGTGAAGATGCAGGAGTCATCTGTCTTCCACAAGGTAAGAGAATTTCGAACAGATATGTGTAGATCTGTAGAGATGCATGTAGATAATAATAATGATGATATTTCAGTTCTTGTATAGCGCATAATACGGTATGAAATAACATCTCTCTGTGCTTCCAAAGAGCTCTGGAAATTAGTACTCTAGCTTTAGCTCCGGCAGCCGTTATCAGCACACAGTGCATTTCAAGGAATAATCCTACCAGGTACCCATTTACCTCACCTGGGTTTAGATATACCCTACATGTATGGTTAGAGGGCCTGCGCTTGTGACCCTCAAGATTTGATCATTTTCAGAGGACCAGAAGCTACACTCTTCCTACTGTTACAGCAAATACTGGAACAATGCTGAGGCAGCAGTCGAGCTTCCATTGCAGGTCCTATCTTTTGTCGCTTTTGGTACTCTAGCTATATACTTTAATAATAAGCAAGTCATGGAGGCAGAGGGGCAAGAGGTACATGAACCCTCTTGACTGCACACGTCTCAGGAATAAAGAAATTGATATCAGTCATGTTTTCCAATTCCTCTCAGCTCGTCTCGCCGATGGATCAAGCTATCGAGAAGGGCGTGTTGAGCTGTTCTACCAGAATGCGTGGCATATGGTGTGTGATGACGAATGGGACGAGTATGACAGTGCAGTGGTTTGTGACGGCATGCTAAGTCTCCCAGGTGCGGACGGCCCTCAGACTGATCTCTCGTTCGGCCCTGGGGAGGGGGAAATCATCTTGGACAATGTTGACTGCCTTGGGAATGAACCAAGTCTCTTCCAGTGCAGGAGCCGAGGATTGTTTGTTCAGGATTGCAGTCGTCTTGAAGCGGCCGGGGTCATCTGCTCTCCTTCAGGTCAGACCAGCAGTGTCATAATATACAAATGATGCATGCGCATGAGTTCATTTTACTATCTATCCGCACTTGAGTTGAGGCTGTGTGTATTTATTGCACGAAGCCGGCTGAGTGCGATAGATAGAGACAGCATCAACAAGGGCGGATAGATCGTATAATGAACAAATGAAAACATGTATCATTTGTTTTATACTATGAAACTCCTATATGTTTGTTATTTGATATTAAAAGATTTCATTCAAGATTGTTTCCTGACAGTATGGCTGACAAATAAATCTCAAGTTGAATAGGCTAGTTTAATGCACACCCATAGATAAGCGCACTTACCTCTTTAGGCATTTAGGTATAGTGCTGTGCAAGAATAGGCCCACACGCAGTATAAGCGCTTTAACTTCTAGGCGCACAACTGGGCATCATGTGCACGCACTAATAAACAAAATTGTGTGATAGTCCTGGAAACTATGACGCGCTTTTTCATGAAAAAAACGTGGCATAGTCTCAGTAAATGAATCACACGTGACCGCGCATGACCAATTATTTGATTAGGATCTGGGAGTGAGTTGTATAAATACTCATATCAATCTGAAATGGGAAGCCCTCTGAAGATGCAGTACACTTGCCCAGCTTATTTGTAATCTATAAAGAAACCCAATTTCTTTCTCACAGTCTGATATAAGTCACCAGCAGTCCAACTAAAATGATAGATTAACCCCTAAACTGAAATACCATGCATGTTGATGTTGTTGTAGTTGTCGGGTGTCATCAAGTCATCCCCAACTCCTGGTGACCCTGTGGATAAACCTTGGTTACTCTGTCTTACAGAGATGCCAACCAGTACGATTAAATTGTATTTATCTTAAAATCTTAAAATATGATTTTTCATTTTTTTTTTTAAACACATAAAAACAGTGGAATCGCAAAGAAACAGGTACAAGTAAACCCCCGCAACCCCAACAAAAACTTTGCTTTACAATTTTTTCATTAAATTTTAATGAAAGAGCAAACATTTTTCTGAAATTTCACAGGCCCGGGGCCAACGGGCCAGTGGTTGTGTCAAGTTTTCGTGAAAATCTGATTTTTTAGGATACTCGGTCTGTTTTTTTGTGTCAAGAGGTTGGCATCTCTGGTCCTGTACAAGCATGCACATCTCTCCTAATGATCTGTCTGTTTATTTGGTCACACCTTCTATCCATCCAATCCTTTACCATGCATTCACAGACCAATAAACATTGCTACATACTCTACCCAACAATAATCCAAGTTTGGAAATCAAATCTGCCCCTTGCTGTAAATATTTCAAGCCAACTTTGTTAAAACAAAAGCCAACTTTGAAGTGCAGCCTGTTGCACATAATGATATTGATGATTAAAAGCCCCACTGCACTACTTATAGCTACTTGTGCCCTCTATATAGCAAACAATGCCTTATCAGTTACCATTGGTCCCCCATGATCCCCTTTCTCTTATGATAATTGAGAGCTTATTTGATGAGATAACCACCTGTCAGTGACCATGCAGGGAGGTCTAATCCTTCCTGGCCAAACTAGTGCAGTGGGGCTTTACATGTTCCTGCTATCACTGTCACAGGAGCAGGTTAAAGAGAAGGTTAAGTTCTGGGAGGAGGTGAAAATTAATTTTTTAGCGTTATCATTTATATGCAAGGGTGGAAGAACATCAGATAAAAAAAGTTCGCTGAAAAGTATGGCTCTTCAAATACCTTGATATTTTTACGCCACGTGCTCGTGTAGTCCCATATACATCCTTCTGCGTACAGTGCTTGTAACTTTACCAAGACTTGGCCAAACTTCTTATCATTTTGATGATTCTAGAACTTTGCCATACACACACACATACTTATATGCCAGATGATCAACCTTTTCTGATCGATTCCACACTGTTTCCTTCACAATGCAATTGCATGACAAAAACTCAACCTTATCTTTCTTTTAATTGCAGTTCGTCTAGCTAATGGCTTCAGAGAGCACCAAGGTCGCGTAGAATACTACTACAACAACCAATGGGGCTCTATCTGCGATGACGAGTATGGGTCCTGGAGCATGGCAAACGCCAACGTGGTGTGTCGAATGCTGGGATTCGTGGGTGCTGAGAGCGCCCGAGGGAGCGCGTTCTACGGAGAGGGCGATAGTGACATTGTCCTTGCGAATGTCCACTGCAGCGGTAACGAGACGAATGTCGCAGACTGCTCGCGGAACCAGTTCTTGGATCACCTGTGCGCCCATTCGGAAGATGTTGGTGTGGTTTGCTCACTCGGAGGTAGGTTCCTTGCTTTATTCACAGTGTTCATCTCATATAAGTGTATGCCAATGATTTAAACACTTGATGGGGAAAGCAAATAAGTAATAAGAGTACGAGCTTCAACATGGCACTATTGTCCTTTGTCAAGATAGTGATCTGCATTTGTCAACCTCTACTCTGGTAGTGATTGAGTACTTGTATAAAGTATTTCCTTGAATACTTTGAACACTGAAATCGGAGCCAAGTTAGATTCTGGAATATGATGAGCTAACCATATACAGTTAACCCGCTGACTATTCAATTCATTCATTGACATAGGCTTAATACAGGTGCCATCCTGTTCCAGTAAGGAATGGGGTAATAATGTAAAATTCTATCTGATGATAGGGTTAGGGTAACCATTTTATCATGATATTCTTCATCTGATGGGTAGCAGCAACCCAATGTTGAAAGTTTTGTACAGATGAGCAGTTGTTTCATTTTATGATAAATCACATCAAATTAAATGATAAAATTAAAATATTGTATCATGCAGCAGTTCATCTGGTGAGTATCATGGAGGCAACTGAAGGATGCTTTTTTTTCGGATGAGCAAATGTGAGAGTTTTTAATTAATAAGAGCCTATGAAATAACAAAATAATATTTTATCATATAGTTCGGGTTGTGTACATTTGATGGCAATGACAGTAAAGAGCATTGTTAAGATGAGCGGATGTTGAATTGTATGATGAATTTAAATAATTAAACATAAGAAAATTGAATTGAATTGAATTGAATTGAATTGAAATGTATTGTCCCTTTCAGGAAATTCTTTTTTCACTGGTTTTACAGTCATTGTACATGTGCATATTACAAAAGAAAATACATAATACAATAATAGCAAATGTACATCTTCACAAACATCTTCACGTTCTGAAAATGATACAATTTCATCACAATGCAGTTCGTCTGGTGGGTGGCAACAAGCCTAGCGAAGGTCGAGTCGAGGTCTTCTACCGCAACGCCTGGGGGACTATCTGTGATGACTTATGGGACATGAACGAAGCGAATGTCGTCTGTCGCATGCTCGGCTACTCCGGAGCTGCTGGGATAACCGGGGGAGCGTCTTTCGGACAGGGCGAGGGCCTTATAGTTCTGGATAACATGGAGTGTAATGGGACTGAGGCGACGTTGGCTGATTGCGAACACAACGGATTCTATGACCAGAACTGCGGGCATCATGAAGATGCTGGTGTCATCTGCATTGATCAAGGTATTATAATCTGAATTTAAACAGGTTTAGCAAAATGAAGTAGCGTGTGTGTGTAATTGGGTTTTTACAGACGTGTATCAATCAGATGTGATTTTATATGTCTGTGGACCGACCTTTGACCACCCCATTCGAAAGATGTGACTCGGTTTTGAACCTGCGTCCTTGGTTGAATCAGTTTGTAACTTCCATTGATAGCTGGATTAAAGGCGCACGCCACAACACCCTTAAACTAGCAGCTTTTAAACTCCTTCCTTTACAACCAAATGTTTGAACAACTGTCTTAAAGTAACTTTTAAGAGTGAAAGTTTGGCTTTGAATGACTATTCTATTATTAAGATAGGAATGAAATTCAGTGCATTGGTACTTGACAAGAACTCAATGTGGTTACTTGTTTCTGTTTTATAGAAAAAAAAGTAACCATAAATAGCTGAAATGCATTGTTCAACACTCAAATTCTTTTGTAGTACATGGCTCAGAAGGAATTAACCAAGATGTTGAGAATGTTGTCCTTTTTTGCAGTCACTGCTCCATCACCACAGCCATTAACAGAAGGACCAACTCTCCTTCCTGGTGACCCCTTGCTCCCCATTGAAATCACGACCGGGACAGTCCGCCTCCAGGATGGAGCCTCCGACCGCGAGGGTCGCGTCGAGGTACTCCACAACGGCTCCTGGCATCCGATTTGTGACGATACCTGGGACGAGCTCGAGGCTGACATCGTCTGCAGGATGCTCCACTTTCCTGGGGCGCTCCTTGCCAAACAGTACTCTCACTTTGGTGCTGGGAACGGGAGTATTCTTCTGGACGACCTAGCGTGCTTAGGTAACGAGACTGATCTTCTGTCCTGCATACATGGAGGGCTGTACCAAAACAACTGTGGATCAAACGAACATGCAGGAGTCATCTGCCAAAATACAGGTAGAGTAAAGCATTCTTGTTTTTATGCCTCCGTTACGAAGTAGCCGGAGGCATTATGTTTTCTGGTTGTCCGTCCGTACGTATGGATGTCCCGTTCCTGTGATTGCGTTATCTAAAAAAATGATTGATGGATTCCTGCCAAACTTAGTAGGTCATGTATGTAGCTTGCAGAGCCGATGGATTGATTTGATTTTGGGGTCACAAGATCAAAGGTCACAGTGCTCATTATGAATGCAAAAATATGTTGTGATCGCGTTATCCCAAGAACCGATCAATGAATTCCTGCCAAATTTAGGTCATGTATATATCTTGAAGAGCCAATGAATTGATTAGATTTTGGGGTCACGAGGTCAAAGGGCACAGGGCTCATTATGTATGTATAAATAGCTGGTGATCACATTAGAACCGATGGACAGATTGCTGCAGGACATGTATATATCTTGCTGAGCCAATGAACTTATTAGATTTGGGGGTCATGAGGTCAAAGGTCATGGGCTCATATATGCAAAAATAGCTTGTGATCGCATTATTATTAGAACCGATGGACGAATTACCATCAAACTCAAGACATGTATCTTGCAAGTATCTTGCAAAGCCAATGAACTGATTAGATGTTAGGGTCATGAGGTCAAAGATAAAAGGGTCATACATGTATATGAAAAATAGCTTGTAATCATGATATTCTGAGAACCTGCTAATGGATTACAATTACACTTGAATTTGAAAAATTGCTTCTGTTTTGGTTTATGAAATCGCTCTATGGCGGAGGCATCATTTTCTACTGTGCGCAGTCAAAGTTCCATCTAGTTAACTATTAAATCTTCTGATTCCAGTAGGCCTAGGGCTCGGGACTACTCATTTCCAATATGCAATTGATTCAAAATCATTTTACACCCACCACAATTATTTCCTTGTCGTGGACATAAGCAAAGTTCATGTTTTGGACAGAGAACCACAATACATAGAAAGGTGAGTGAAGGAACTCGTCTACATCAGGGTCCTAAAACTTTCTCTCTACAAAGACGGAGAAGCTATGAACTTACAAATGTCAATGACCCGATTATTGCACATTATGTCAGAAAGGTCAAGTCAGGTCACATCACTGACAAGGGCAGTAGCTAAGCCGCTGAAAGTTCCGGAGGTAAGATCTTGTATTTATATCAAAAGTCTAACTTTTAAATATATTCTTTGATAGGTGTTGTGGTCTAGTGGATAGTGCACTGGACTGTGTATCACATGGTTCGCATTTCGAGTCCCACCGTGGCACTAATGGGCTATGGCAAGACATTAATCTACATTTGCCACTCTCCACCCAGGCAATGTAAATGGGAACCCAGTAGGAAGAAATTCCTTGAATACTTTAGTGCCTTATTAAGGCAGCTCAGCTTCAGTCAGGATAAGCGCAGTAGAGTATATGTAAAGTCTTGATCTCCAATGTCTGGGACAGACAAGGCACTTAGCAAGCAAGAGTATATTCATATATTAGCTGCACTTTATAAATGGACCTATTATATATATATATATCAAGGAACCCTAGCACACCTGTGAGTAAATTCTTGAACTGGGATACATATGTCTATATGTGGGAGGGCCAAAGTATTCTTGCAGGTTGTATTATAACTTTTCCACAAGTAATTTGATTCCTTCTATCTCTTTGTTGATGCAGTGAGATTGCAGGATGGAGCACGGTCCCGTGAGGGCAGGGTGGAGCTCTACGTCGATGACGTCTGGAAGACCGTCTGTGACGACGGTTGGGATGTCAACAACGCTGACGTGGTCTGCCAGATGTTGGGTTACCCCTCGGCCGAGGCGGCACCCCTGAGGGCGTCCTACGGGGCTGGGACAGGTGATATTATTCTGAGCGGTGTGGGTTGTAACGGGATGGAGTCAAGTATCTTTGAATGCGATCACAGCGGACTCACCGTACCCAACTGCGATCATTCTGAAGACGCCGGGGTGGTCTGTTCACCGAACGGTCAGTATTCCGCAGAGATTGGACCATTGCCGACATGAGGATACAGTGTACCAATTTTGTTAACATTTTGTATGCCCTGTCATAAAAGTGTTAAAGAGGGTGGGTCCTCAGTTTCCGTGTGCAGAAGGTCATAATTCGCCAGACACCAGACTTGATGGAAATACCATTAATGGGAGCCTGCACACAGCAAACCCCTAGGCCAATCAATAAATACCCCCTCATCTCTCAAAACTTCTTAAATACTCACTCTATTCATCCATTGAATCCTCTTGCTCCCATAGGCTCAAGAGAGAAAACTCCCGGTTCCTCTTGCATTAATTTGTCAATAGTCTGTCCTTACTTTGCTCTTTGCAGTACGTCTCAGCAACGGGAGTCGCAGCCTGCAGGGCTGGGTGGAGTACTACTATAACGGGACCTGGGGAACCATCTGTAACAGTAACTGGGATATGCTGGACGCCAACGTCGTCTGCCGGATGCTGGGTCACAGCAGAGCTGTAGCCTCCATTAGCCATGACGAGCTTGGACCAAGAGATGGACCTATTCTCTTGAGCGATGTGGGTTGTACGGGTCAAGAGAAGGACCTTTCGGAATGTCATCAGGGCCGGTTCTATCAGCATGATTGTACACACACTGACGATGTAGCAGTAGTCTGTACAGGTAGGTTTTAAATCTGTTGCCGTTTGTTTTTGGTGAACATTTTGCTTTAGTGAAGGAGCAATCATATTAGTAATTACTTTTAGTTACAGTACTTTTGGAAATGATATAGCTAGTGGCAATCGTTTGTCTCGCAATGTATGGTCAACAAGGGATTAAAAGATCACGTTTCGTGTGCCGCTGCAACACTTCGTCAGGTGATAGAATATATATTGTATTCTATTGTGCTGTGTTGTGTTTCATTGCATCGCATTGTATGCTACATAAACTATGTTGTATCATATCGTTTGGTATTGTAATGTATAGCATTCAGTTTTATTGATTTCCATGTATCACACAAATTTTAATAGACTATTGCATGAGTACTGTACTTTCAGTACTTGGGGGCAACATGATAATTATAACAAAACGTAGTCACAGTTATCCTTTGACTTCTGGAACTGGGTTGTCCCTGTGTTAAGCCTGTGTGAATGAGAGAATTCAGTAGTCAACCCATTTGCTTCAATAGTCAGTAAATTGTTTTAGAAGACAATAAAATAATCATTTAGGTTTATCACTGAATTATAAGTATTTTGTTGGCCATTTAATACTTTCTGTTACTTCTACAGAAAACAAGTACATGAGGAACAATGTGTAACTGAAGTTTAATGGAATTATGGAATAAATGAAATGAACTGAACTTATGTACTGTACCCCATGCACAGAACAACTGATCAATTGTTTTCATTGTGAAGTATAATTTATCCCCTAAATCATTAGATTCAATGAACAATGACAAATAAATCTTCCTCAACAGATGACGTTGAAGTCCGGCTTGTTGGCGGAAGCAGCGACAGCGAAGGGCGCCTCGAGGTGAACTTCCAGGGCTCTTGGGGGACCGTCTGCGATGACGACTGGACTATCGACGCTGCACACGTCGTCTGTCGAATGCTGGGATACTCTGGGGCTGATGCGTTTCAGACGAACGCTTTCTTTGGGGAAGGCGAGGGCACTATTGTGCTTGATGATCTGCGTTGTAGTGGAAACGAGACCAATCTGGCTGATTGCGGACATCGGGAGATCTTGACGAGTAATTGTGGACACGCTGAAGATGTAGGAGTAATCTGTACAGGTATAGCATCAGTTTAACCTTTTCTCGTCTCAACTTCATGGCTTTAGCCCAAAAATGGGCCTTATGTCCTACATTGACTTTTGGATTCCAATTGCAGGGCTCATAAAGGGAGGTATTGATAATGATGTGGCTTACCTTTTTTTAGACCATATGAGGAGTAGTAGAGGTAGTAGTGGTAGAAGTAGTAGTAGTAACAGTATAACTATCGATAGTAGTAGTCTCGCAGGAGGTGAGAACAACTTCAGAGGTCCTGTTGAAGTCTTCTACAATGGCAGCTGGGGGACTATTTCTGAAAGCAGCGATGCTGAAGTACTTTAACCACAATTTGGAAATTCAGCAGAAAAGATGCATATAATTTGAACAAGAACAGATTATTTATCTTTGTTCTCCGTCTTTTTTCTGTCTTATCACTACATAGAAATAGTTCCCTCCACAACCAGACAGCCCGTTGTTCCTCTGGAGGTGCGTCTTGCAGGTGGTGAGAATGACCGTAGAGGTCGCGTTGAAGTCTTCTACAACGGCAGCTGGGGTACCATCTGCGATGACTACTGGGATATCAGTGATGCAGAGGTTGTTTGCCGGATGCTTGGGTTAGGTCTAGCCCAGAGGTGATTTGAATCATATGACTTTTGGGTTCATTTAGTCTACTGCTTCTCTCTCTCTCCCCCTCTCTCTCTCCCCCCCCCCTCTCTCTCTCTAGCTCTCTCTCTCTCTTTCTCTCTCTATCTCTCTCTCTCTGTCTCTCTTTCTCTCTCTCTGTCTCTCTTTCTCTCTCTCTGTCTTTCTCTCTCTCTCTCTCCCTTTCTCTCTCTAGCTGATATGGAGCTAGAAGAGCATTCACTTTGTTTTGAAGTATATGGCTTAATTAGTGCCCTTCTGGCTCTAAAAAGACAATCTCTCCCTCTCTCTCTCTCTCTCTTTCTCTTGCTCTGTTTCACTCACGTTCTCTTTCACTCTCAATCACTCACTTTTTTGCTCTATATACCTTACAAACAATATGTGCAGTGGTGTGCACTAATAATAACATAAGGCATATCACGTTATGATATAACATGTTTCTGCACTTTCAAAGAACTTTGGATATTACCACCCCTGCGTTAGCTTCAAAAACTGCCACTCTTCCTTTTCCTCTGTTCCTAACCTCGCTCTAAGAGTGACTGAATCTGCGGTGGTATGCACTATACACTTAGAAACACGGTTTATTGTTATATAATACTACAGGGCCTATGGTACTTCTGAGTTTGGAGCTGGAGAGGGGCCGATCGTTCTGGATGATGTGGAATGCTCAGGGTCCGAGAGCAACCTGGTAGAGTGCAGGCATGGCGGACTCCTGGCTAATAACTGTGGTCATTCAGAAGATGCTGGCGTTGCATGTGCCGGTAAGCCATATCTGGGCCCTGTTGCACAAAACTTAACATGGATGGTAACTTTGCCATCAATGGTAACTACCATGGAAACCTTGATTTTGATTGGCTGGTGAGCCCTGTTACCATGGTAGTTTCCATGGTAGGTTTTATGCAACAGGGTCCTGTTACTGAAATGAAAGATGCCAATGCTGTATGAGTGATATATATGATGCTGTCTGCCAATATTAAAGAGAACAAAAAGTTTATCACATCCGTATCCATGAAATGTACACTTAGCGGAACGATAAATATCATCTTGAAGATGTTGCTCTTACAATAATTGTGTGTTGTATTTGATCACATGCAGCAACACATCTATCGGTAAATATTTTCTCTCTGTGTTGTAATATCCAAATTGCAGATTTTAGGGCTAGGAGGACACAGAAGTGTGTAATCTGGAAAAGAATTTGATTGAGAGAGGTACTCTAATTTATGAATTTATGAGTCTATGACACCCCGTGCAAGGTGTAGCATGTAGTTTGTTTGTGTTATTGAGAAAGATTGTTAGATGTGTATCAGGTACATTGATGTTGACTCTACAGTCCTGGGACCCGTTTCACAAAGTCTTTTTTTCAATGACAAATGAGAACAATCAATGACAAATCTGCTTGTAACCAATCAGAAGCAAGGATTTCAGTAGCTTATAACAAAGACTGTCATTTGTCACTGATGACATGTTTTGTGAAATGGGACCCTGGCGAACTTAGTCATCTTGAATTCTTGCAATTCTCCATTTATCTTATGTTCTCTTAGCCCCTGAGCCATCTGGACCTCTCGAGATACGATTGGTAGGCGGTGCCAACGAGATGGAAGGAAGAGTTGAAGTCCTCTACAACAACTCCTGGGGAACCGTCTGCGATGACCAGTGGGATATCAATGATGGCAGCGTCGTCTGCAGAATGCTTGGTTTCGCTAGAGCCATCAGTGCACCAGGTGGAGCTGCGTTCGGCCAAGGGGACGGACAGATCGTTCTGGATAACATAGAGTGCCAGGGATATGAGGAGAGTCTCCTGGACTGCCAGCGGACAGGCTTCCTGGAGCAGAACTGTGGCCATTCTGAAGATGCCGGGGTTGTGTGTGCAAGTAAGTTTGAAAATTTCCTATGTGTGCTTATATATGTGGGTAGGCCATAAGACTTCTTCATATGGTCTGAATCTGACTTGTCCATGTATTTTCATTGAAAGGCATAAAGGCTTGTTCTATAAAATAAACATGGACTTAACCTGAACCTGACAATGGAAAGCTACTTTGCACTTCCATGCCGACATGACCCAGTGAAGACCAGATATAAATCCTACATTGCTGGTAGCTTTGATGGTGAAGGGCACTATTATATTTTCAGAAATTTTGATTTTGTTGCCTTCACCTCGCAAATTTAACCATTGCCTACCGGAACTTGGTGGTTCCTGCATAAAGACAATGGGAATGCATTTATTCAGTAGTCAACAGGTAAACTCTTACTTTGATTATAAGATAAGTTACTGAAACTGTTATTCAGATGTTTTAAATTACACTTTTAAATACAACATATAGTTACTGGTAAAACCTAGGAATGCTTGGGGCCCCTCCATCAAGTTGTACTTTGAATATATGTAAATCATTTGTTCGTGTCTCCTTAGATCAAGATAGTTATGTAAAGTTCTGTAATTAAAATTAAATTAAATTAAATTAAGGTCTTCCGTCGCCCGATTGCTGCAATGGCCATTTTATTAACCCTTACTGTACTGGGGGGGGGGGGGGCCTGGGAGGCCCCCCCCCTCAACATTTTCGGAGATTGCGCCGCAACCGCTTGGAATTTTGAATTGTCGTTTCATGACTTTTTTCCCTCAAGTCTTACGCACATTTTGATACCATTTTCGTTGAAATCGGATATACCTGTAAGGCGTTACATAACAATTAGTATGCGCATGTCATCAAAAAAAAAATTAAAAATTAAAAATCGCATCAAAATTTGCATAAATTATCATTATTAATTACATTAAAATAACTTTTTTGTGTTAGAAAAGAAGTTTCATATGAATAATGAGTTTCAACATTCAAAAAGTGGAGTTTGACACGTTTTCTGTAAAATGCATAAAATTAGCGCATTTTGCATAATTAATTAGGCTAACGACAAAAATTTGCATATTCGGAAAAAACTAATTATACCATCTTGTTCCTTATGTAAATATCTACAAATATGCAAATTTTCGTGTTCATCGGACAATCGACGGCCGAGATCATAGGGGGGGGGGGGCCTCCCAGGCCCCCCCCCCCCCCCCCCCCAGTCAGAGGCTGCTCAAAATAGCCCAGTACAGTAAGGGTTAACAAGGGCCAGGGCCTGTATTTAATTCAATACTTAAGTACAAAATTTAAGCTTTTTACTTAGTATTTGGCTTAGATAAAATACTTAGCCAATTTTGGTATTCAATTCCCCCTTTTGGCTAAATATTTTACCCTAAATCTAAGCCAACTCCATACCAGACTTAAGCCAATTATTTGGAGGCCTTGATTGACAGGTATATGGTTTTGTTACGCAGTATTATAACCTGCGCACAATTATATCAGCGCGCATTTATTGCAATGCATCAATTGTGCATTACTTTTAATTGACCGTGTGACGTCACAATGCTTATCAGTAAGTATTTTACTTAAATTTTATCTTACATAAGTATAAGTCTAAAATGCGAGTTTAATACGAGATAAGTAAATTAATTAACTTAGCCATTTACTTAGTAAATTTCTTACTTATGCTAAGTATTGAATTGAATACCGGCCCAGGTCTTCATCTGTGCAACCCGATTATATGTAGATAGATGTAGATGATTTGCAGCAAATACCTGTTTGTCAAATTCAAGATTGCTCTTTTCACCAACTGGTTTATCAGCTTTGTTAAAAACTTCCTCTGAAATTCCTAGATGTGACTGCTACGGAACCTCCCATCACGATCAGCCCCATGCCGAGACCCGTTGTCAACCTGCAGGTACGTCTTGTGGGTGGTAGCAATAACCAAGAGGGGCGTTTGGAAGTCTTTCACAACGGATCATGGGGAACCGTTTGTGGTGATCTCTGGGATATCAATGAAGGAACTGTGGTTTGCAGGATGCTGGGGTTAGGAAGGGCCATGAGGACGTACAGCTCTGCAGAGTTTGGACCCGGTGAGGGACCGGTCGTCCTGGATAATGTGCAGTGCCTCGGAACGGAGGAGAATCTTGGAGAGTGCCGGCATGATGCGTTGGAAGTCAACAACTGCCAGCATTCTGAAGTTGCTGGAGTACAATGTAATGGTGAGTGTGTCAACGGTCACATTTTTAGTTGTAACTTCAGTGCTGTCTTTGCAATGACATCTATTAGGAAACAAGGAATGATCTTTGCATGAGGCTTTTTCACATAGTAATGAGAGAAGGTGTTGACTACTTTATAGGGAACCTATCGACTCGAGTATCAATGGCTCTACATGTATTCACTAAGCTATTTTATTAAAGATACTGAAATTTAAAGACTATTACACTTCATGCCATCATAAACATAATTGCTGTTGTTTACCGCTTCACGCCTGAACAAGACATAACTTTTTATTTCACCATATGTGTTCTTCATCCTTGTCTCTTCTGTACTTGTTTGAAAATCATATCAGCTCCTGAACCAACTGGACCTCTCCAGGTGCGACTGGTTGACGGAGCCAACGAGATGGAAGGAAGGGTGGAAGTCCTCTACAACAATTCTTGGGGCACAATCTGTGACGACCAATGGGACATTAATGGCGGGAACGTTGTCTGCAGAATGCTTGGGTTTGCTAAAGCCATCAGAGCACCAGGTGGAGCTGAGTTTGGCCAAGGGAACGGATCAATCGTTCTAGATGATGTGACCTGTCATGGACACGAGACAAGTCTATTGGATTGCCAGCGAAGGGATTTCTTGGACCAGAACTGTAGGCATTCTGAGGATGCTGGTGTAGTGTGTTCAAGTGAGTCCTGCGTGTTGTTTCTTTCACATGTTGGTCACCTTTCTTCTTCATCCTGTTCAAATGCTTGTTCACAAAATCTGAAAAGTTATAGAATGTGCATCCTTTCTGCTCTCATTTACGAACTCCTTCATCTTTTGTGTTGAAGATATTTAACCCCTCGCTGAGGAAGTCGAAGGGGATATAGTAACGCTGCCGTCCATCCTTCCTTCCTGCGTCTGTCCGTTCGTAACAAATTTGGTTTCCAATTGATAACTTCAGTAATGTTTGACAGATTTTAATGAAATTTGATATGAAGGTTCATGATATCAAAACATAGCCTAAGTTCAATTTTTGAGTATGTAGGTCAAAGGTCCTAGCTCTTTGAACATGCAAATCTCGTTTCTGATCCATAACTTTAGTATTGTTTGGCGGATTTTAATAAAATTTGATATAAAGGTTCATGGTATCAAAACAAAGCTTAATTTCGATTTTGGAGTATGTAGTTCAAAGGTCAAAGCTCATTAAATATGCGAATCTGGTTTCCATTTGATAATTTCAGTAATGTTTGACAAATTTTAATGAAATTTAATATGAAGGTCCATGGTATAAAAATACATGTACAGCCTAAGTTCGATTTCTGAGTATGTAGGTCAAAGGTGAAAGGTCATAGCTCATTAAATATGCAAAAACACCTAATTATATATGTGAAAATGGAGGTACTTGTTCTGACGTATATAGGCCATTTGTACCCTGCGAGGGGATGATACGCTTTGTGTTGACTTGTTTTCATTATACTGTGGATATCTATTCTCTTAATCACCCTGTAAATCTAAGAAAACAGAAATTATTTGGTTTTAAGGAACCAGGTCATGTCTAATTGGTAAAGAAATAAGCAGTATAATATAAACCAAATGGTTCTTACTCTGCTTCATTTGGTTGGGCATTCAGTTAAGGTTTGTGGCATTCATGATCCCATGCAAATAGTTCATTTCAGCATTGCTGTATTCCAAGCTAGTTTATCGGCTTTGATTTGATACAATCCTTTGATCATTTAGATTCAAACACCACAGTAGCTCCACCTACTGTGCCTAGACTGGAGGCAAGGCTTGTTGGTGGCGCCACAGAGCAGGAAGGACGTGTCGAAGTCTTCTACAATGGCTCTTGGGGAACCATCTGCGATGATCTCTGGGATATCAACGATGCTCTCGTCATCTGCAGAATGGTCGGGCTGGGTCGAGCCATACGGCCGTACAGCTCTGCACGGTTTGGACCTGGTGAAGGACCGATCGTCCTGGACAACGTGGAGTGCCTCGGGAGGGAGGAGAATCTTGGAGAGTGCCAGCATGATGGGCTGGGAGTCAACAACTGCCAACATTCTGAAGATGCAGGAGTGCGTTGTGCTGGTTAGTGTGAATATCTAACTCTTTACTGACTTTATTCGACCATTGGAACAGGGGCCTTGTGGCGTGCGCCTGTAATCCAGCTAACAATGAAAGTTACAAACTGATTCAGCTGAGGACGCAGGTTCGAAACTGAGTCACGTCTTTCGGATTGTGACTTTAAAGGTCGGTCCACAGACGTAAATAATCATATCTGATTGAAACACGTCTGTAAAAACCCAATTACAAACACAGTGTATCTGAATAATACTCCAAACAAAGTGGCAGTACAGGGGTTTCGATCCATGACACCCAAAGTTGGTTAGTTAGTGGGTTCTGTCTACATCTTGTCATATGCTACCAGGCTTCCTTAGAACACCTGGAACCTGTTTCACAAAGCCTTTTTTCAATGACAAATGACAAAAATCAGTGACAAATCTGCTGGTAACCAATCAGAAGCAAGGATTTCAGTAGCTTAATTATAGCAAAGACTGTCATTTGTCACTGAGGACAAGTTTTGTGAAAAGGGTCCCAGACATGTAAGGCTTTGTCAAACCTTGAACCTCACTTGCATTACAACTTGTGGGACCTGTACTATAGAGGTTTTGTAGGTTAGTTGGTTGTTTTACCTGACTGCTTAGACAACATGGGGATGCTTGTAATGAATCTACCAGGGTTCTGAGTTCCTTGGTAAAGAGGATTAATGCCTAACCAATGGGCCCTAGTGTATCGACTTGGTTTTGAACCTGAGACCTCCCAGTCACAAGACCACTGCTCTACCACAGAGCCATTACGCCTCCTTCAGGTGCTGTTGTTTTGTGGATAATTCAGAGGACCGTGGATGAAATGGTTTTGTGGGTTTGAATTTTTTGCAAGACATTAATCTACATTGCCACCCTTAAATATGATATGGTTCTCTTAATGATAATGATCCATTCTGTTTTTTAATGCATGTACATGTAGCTTTCTAATTGTTAATTGAAGGAACATTTTGATTCAATTTTGGGTCAAGCGCACATAGATTCCCCCCACCCCCCAAAGAAAAAAAGAAGGAAATTGTACAATCCATAGCTGTAACCAAGACGCATCATTTTGCATCACATTTAATCTCATTTCTTGTACACTTTTTCAAACACTTGACAGCTCCTGAACCAACTGAACCACTTGAGGTACGTCTGGTGGGTGGAGCGAATGAGATGGAAGGAAGAGTTGAAGTCCTCTATAACAACTCATGGGGGACCATCTGTGATGATCTGTGGGACATCAATGATGGGAGCGTCGTCTGCAGAATGCTTGGTTTTGCTAGAGCCATTCGTGCACCTGGTGGAGCTGCTTTCGGCCTTGGGGATGGACCGATCGTTCTGGATAACATAGAGTGTCATGGGGATGAAACAAGTCTTCTAGATTGCCACCGAACAGGTTTCTTGGACCAGAACTGTGGCCATTCTGAGGATGCAGGGGTGGTCTGCACAAGTGAGTTGTTGCGCTTAGTAGTAGCTCTATACAGAGCGAATTTATTTTCCATTTCTTTTCACATAATATAAACAATATCAAACAATAATAAACGCAATGATATAACAGAAATAAGCATTGAAATATCTTTGACATTGTTTTTTAGTCATTGTAATGCAAAATGATTTAATTACAAGAAATGAAAAAAACGAACGTACTTGAAAGCAAAGCTTGTTAGATGTAGGTTCGCACTTGTTGTCTACTGGTAGACATTTTCATTTTTGTTTGTTTCAACAATAATGAAAAAAGCTGCATGTATTCTTTACCTCCTGTTGTATTAAATACAACCAGCCAAAACTCTTGAGTATAATTAGTCTGGTCACTGTATGATTACATATTCTCTACTCGTCTCGATATCAATTCCAGCTAGCCACCTGTTTACAAGCGTGCACATACTAATCCAGGCTCAAAGAACTATATAGACAAAGGAGGTTTGCTTATAGTAGTTATACACTGGATTAGAACTTAAAGATGAGAAACAAGCTGATGCTTATTCATGATTTTCAGGATCTACTATACATTCATCTTTAAAAAATATCACCCCCATTTTCTAACTAACTCAAATTACCCACCCATAATGTCTTTATAGATTCCAGCGCTACAGATGCTACCCCCACGACAATCCCTCCCCAGATAAGGCCTGTAGTTGACCTCCAGGTGCGTCTCGTTGGGGGCGCAACAGATCGAGAGGGTCGGGTGGAGGTCTACTACAACGGCTCCTGGGGAACTGTCTGCGATGACCTCTGGGACATCAGCGACGGAAACGTGGTTTGTAGGATGCTGGGTCTGGGTGAGGCGCAGTTGACACGAGGGTATGGAGCTGGAGAGGGACCTATTATCCTTGACAACGTAGAATGCCAGGGGACAGAAGACAACCTTGGGGGATGCCAGCATCCAGGATTGTTTGAGAATAACTGCGGGCATGCGGAGGATGCTGGAGTCAAATGTTCAGGTCAGTAAAAAAAGTGACTGCCTATGCTGACAACAGTTAAAAAGATAACAGAAAAATACATTCTAAAACTTTAATCTCATGAACATGGTATATATCAGTTTGAGCATTGTCCAAGTTTGAAATTTGACAACTTGTGTTTGTATGCTCAGAGATGCCAAGTTCAAAGATCAGCTATGTGTGACATTTTCATGACTCGACGCCCGAGTGAGGGTATAGCGTATAGTGTAAAGTGTATAGTGTACGTTTGGAAATTGCATGTGACGCAACATAATAACCGGTCTGCATGCATGCTACATGCATGCAATATACGAACCCTGCGAGGAGCTAGCTGAGGCCTGCGAGGCGGTCGGCCAGTACGTAGCAATTACTACCCTTTTATTCCCCAGTCTGGCCCTGATGCGTGACAAAAGTAGTTGCCATGCGTGACAGCGTTTTCAGACCCTCGATGCGTGACTGTCACGCACAATGCGTGACCCTTGGTGGCTCTGTATGCTTCTGTTGGGCAAACAATGAGCTGTTGACATTCATCTCTAATACCCATTGTGTCCTTAATCATGAGGATTTTGGTGACTCATGTTCGTACCAATTTGCTTTAAAAAAAATACTTTAAGGGTCTTAATATGCAAAAGAGCTTCACAATTATTATTTTTATTAACAGCCACTACTCAGGCCCCCTCTAGAACACTGCAGGTGCGCTTGGTGGATGGCACCACGCCCAGTGAAGGTCGTGTTGAGGTCCTGCATAATGGAACTTGGAGCACCATCTGTGACGATTCCTGGGATTTGCCCGATGCTCATGTCACGTGTCATATGCTGGGCTATCCTGGGGCGGAGAGTGCACTCGCCAGTGGTTTCTTTGGCCCGGGTGAAGCAGGTATTCTTCTGGACGATGTGGAATGTATCGGAAATGAAACGAGTCTTGAGGATTGCCAGCACCCTGGGTTCTATGAGCATAATTGTCAACATTATGAAGATGCTGCGGTGGTCTGCAGACCCAGAGGTAATTCATTCTCAATCTGTTCAATACTACATCCAGGCCTGATAATTACCCAATTTAAATCAGTTTCCTGCTTCTCTTTTTTTTCTTCCTGATTTTGTTTTGATGTTTTTTTTCTCCCGAATTCGTTTTTATTTTTATTTTTCTTTCCCGATTTTTCCCTTTTTCCCCCCAATTTTCCTACTGAAAAGGGGGTAATGATGTTAGATGCCTTATTTTTTTTTACTCAAGGGAGGGTGGTTGAGAAAAATTAAACCTATTTTTTATTTTAGTGCTCACTATCACCCCTGTACATCCCAGATAACAATAAGACGTTTGGCCAACGTTGCCACTTTTTCACTGATAAACGGTTGATATTTTTTGGCTATATGATGTTGGGCTTACGTTGGCTTAACGTTGGGACATGGCACATAGTGGGAAAGGGGTTGGCATATACGTTGGCCTGCCATCAATTAGCCGCTATCGAGCCAACGTTGAACGGCGGCCAAAAAGACACATCCAACTAAAGGCTGCATCACACGGTCTGATGGATGACTGGTAGTGCAGCCTCTGTGATGCAGATGAGTTTGTGATTCTGATCTTTGATTTTTGATTCTACAGGAAGCTACTACCCATTGTTCATTACCCTAGATGTTCCTTCCATATAATCACACATTTAATTACGTGAAAAGCTGGAAGATCGACGCTGCTTATAAGTATCGGCTTGCATGGTGATGTAGATATACAGTAGGCTTGCGGTTGCACCATGTCAGAGAGGGGAGGGTTGGGGAGTCCTGAAAAGGACTCTCAGTAATAAAGCTGGAAGATGTCTTAGACAAGTTCTTATTGAGACCTTTTGCTCAGCCTGTCATTATCTTCTCTGTATACTTTTTAACAGTTCGACTGGCTGGAGGAGGCAACTACCGCCAGGGACGCGTAGAGATCTACTCCGACGGCACCTGGAGCTCAATTTGCGATGATTCCTGGGACCTTAACGATGCCAATGTCGTCTGCCGCATGCTCGGCCACGCCAACGCAGAGGCTGTCAGGACAGGGTCGTTCTTTGGCCAAGGGACAGGGGATATCATTCTGGATGATGTGGAGTGCACAGGGACAGAGAGAGACATCTTGGATTGTCAGCATGCAGGACTGTTCAATAACAACTGTGGACATTCAGAGGATGCTGGTGCCGTCTGTTCTGAGAGAGGTACATGGGTTACAATGTCTTTGGACATTAGTGTAATGAGAGTCCAGCCAGTCTAGAAAGAACTGGTATCATGGAAGGGGGTTGGGATCAGTCTTACCTGTCTCAGAATGTTTATGTTAATTCTTGTTCTTTTAAACTGCTTGTTTATGTTTATGTTTATTCTTATTCTCTTAAATTGATAATTGGGTATTAGATCATGAAGCTCATATAATAATGATATCAGAAGATAATGAGTTCCATGCACTAGAGAAGCTCTGGATAAAACAGAATGTATAATTTAATTTCAGGTTAATAGATTGATTCCTTTTTTTTTAAATTACAGTCCATCTGGCTGATGGAGCAACCCCTGGAGAAGGAAGGGTGGAGGTCTACAGCAACGGTACCTGGGGAACGATCTGTGACGATTCCTGGGACATAGACGACGCGACGGTGGTGTGTCGCATGCTGGGGTTCCCGAAGGCAGCATCCGCACCCATACAGGCTGCCTTTGGTCCTGGTCAGGGAGAGATTCTGTTTGATGAGGTTGATTGTACCGGAGCAGAGAGGGGTCTGACGGAGTGCTCTCATCGAGGGCTTGGTGTGCATAACTGTGGTCACAGTGAAGATGCGGGTGTTATCTGCTCAAGTGAGTCAGCTTAGATTTTAAACCTTGCACACGCCAATATTGTTTCATATGCTACATACATGTACAATAGAACTCTGTGTTTGCAGAATGATTAGGTGATAGTAATGATGGTGATGATGATGATGATGATTGTGATGATGCTGGTAAGGATGTGCATGTATAATAAGAAGGAAAATGGAGAAATTGGAGATTATGATAGTGATGGTGTTGATGATGATAGTGGTGGTGGTGATGATAATGAAGACATTGAAATTATGACTATGATGATGAAAATGAAGACAAATGATAATTGTGAAAATAAATATGATGTTGATAACGAGGGGGAAGATCATTATGTCTATAATTAGTGATAATGGTGTTAATTTTGTCTGCGGTATAAAAACATCCTTAATCATATCATCTGGATCTATTATCATTCTCATCCAAAGATGAGCTGGAAATCAGACTAGTGGATGGTGAGAGGAACAACGAGGGGCGTGTCGAAGTCCTCTACAACGACGAGTGGGGAACTGTCTGTGACGATGCCTGGGACATACTTGACGCAGACGTCATCTGCCGTCAGCTGGGGTACCCAGGAGCGGAGGAGGCCTACCAGTACGCTCACTATGGGGCTGGAGATGGCAAGATTCTTCTGGACGATGTGGAGTGCAGAGGCAACGAGACAAACATCGCATTCTGCCGACACAGGGACATCACTACCAGCAACTGTGGACATCACGAAGACGCTGGAGTACTCTGTACTGAATTGGGTGGGTGTTTCACAAAGACTAAGATCGACTTTAAGTTGGACTTAACTTTGGCAGGCTGTTCTTGCCGCTATTTGCTCTCACCATTTACTGGCATCGGTTTTTGAAGTCACGTACAAATCATGGCCACAAATCTACAAATTTTACATTTTTGGATAATTCATTATTGAAAGGAAATATTATCTAAAGATAATAATGGTGAGAGCAAACAGTGACATGAATGGCCTGCCATAGTTCGGTCCAACTTAAAGTTGACCTTAGTTTTTGTGAAACACTCCCCTGGTATGTTTCACAAAGCTTACTGTTAATATTTCATTCACCAGACATCTTGTGACTATACGTACTATCACACAGAGTTTATCTCTGTCTCTGTCATTTCACGGAGGGGTACTTTGATATCTTACCACTTTCATTTGCAATGGTTTATATACATATATATATATATATATACGGGGGCGATATCTTCATTTTGACCATTGAGATATCGTCCAAATCATTTGTTTTTGGTTAAAAATTTGGATTTCAAAACGCATAAAACCAGATATTGTCACAAAATGAAGGTTTGACAATATTATATCATTGACAAAACTTTCTGTCCCAGAAACCTTTATGTCTCACAAAATGTTGGTGATGTTTTTTGCTGATGTTGCTGCACAAAAAAATGAATCGCTTGAGAAATTTTAAAGAGTTTCTTGCATTAGGTTTCTGTTTTTACAGTTACACAGGGTTGAAAGCTTATGGAGACACTGTTTTGTACATGACATATCGCTATTTGAATAAAGTCACATAGAATACAATGTTCCCCGTTGTGATACATGTAGGTGGGCCTATAGAAAACTTTGCCGTGCGCCTTGTGGGAGGTCTAATCCCAAGCAACGGGCGTGTGGAGGTATTCTACAATGGTGCATGGGGCACCGTGTGCGACGACGGATGGGATATCAACGATGCGAACGTTGTATGCCATATGCTGGGCTACGCCAGGGCAGTCTCAGCCCCGTTCGGTGCAAGGTTTGGGGGCGGCAGCGGGCAGATACTCCTTGATGACGTGAACTGTCGTGGAACGGAAGCGACCCTGAGGGATTGTGAGAATAATGGACTGAGCCAGCATAACTGCGGTCATTCTGAAGATGCTGGAGCAGTGTGTAGCTCAGGTAAAGTGTATCTCAGCTTTCAACTATTTATACTTTTTTTCTTATTCAGATACTTGAACCATTGTTAACTGATTTGATTTTAAATTTTTCTTTTTCTGGTTGGGGGGGGGGGGGGAGGATGGACTGTTATTTTCTATAGGCCTCCACCATCGAAGGTTGTACCAGAGGCATTATTTCAAAATAATATTCCCTTCTGTGTCAAGATGTGTACATTTAGTTATCATAAATAATTTTTGAAAATCCATTTCGGACTTAATCAGATCTTTATTTCCTTTAAAGTTTTGCTTTAAATATATTCCACAAATAATTGTTACAAAACAGAAAGTAGTACCCTTTAAACTTGCTAAATTTACATTAAATACTCCGTCAGCATTTTGTATTTCATGGACATATTATCCGTTTTTTAATCGTATGATTGCATTTCATATATCTTTATCTTGAAAGCCGATACACTTTCTCTTGAATATGATTACCCCGGCAGTCCTCTCAGACAAAGCCAGTCTTCCTATCAGATTAACAGGTGGGGTGACACCAGCGGAAGGTAATGTTGAGGTCTACCACAATGGAGTCTGGGACAACGTGTGTGACAATACGTGGGACTTAGCAGATGGATTTGTGGTTTGTAGGTAGGTTTCAGGAAATTACATAAGTTGATATCAGGATGAGAGGAGGAGATGTGGAGTGACGAAGATAGAGGCCCAAAGAGAGAAAGAGAGAGATAGAGGGAGGGAGGGAGAGAGGGGAGGGAGGGTAGGGAAATATAGGAGATAGAGAGAGAGAGAGGTAGAGAGTGAGAGCTAATATTGGGGTGGTGGGGTCGAAAGAAGAGAAGAAGAGTATTATTATAAGAATTGTAAGCCTTTCCATGGAAGAAAAAACAGCAAAATTAATAATATGAACCTAGTCATCCGACCGATATATATATATATATTCCTGAAAAGGAATTTAATAATCCTCTCGCTCGTTTAACCAGGCAATTGGGTTTCAGCAGCGTGCGACGAGTCTCGCGTAACTCCCGCTACGGACAGAACAGCAACCATTACAGACTCCTGGATGTCCACTGCACCGGAGCAGAGAACGAGCTTGGGGATTGTAGGAATGATGTTAGCAATGCTGAAGATCTTGAAACCTGTAGGTATGGGACGGATGCAGCAGGAGTTTCATGTGCCACAGGTACGCCTGTCCATTTTCTACATAGTGTTTTGCTTGTTTGTGCTCTTTTGGCATCTCTTCAATTAGTTCTCTACAAAATATATGCTGTCAATCTCTGTGTATTACACTCACCTATGTTTAAAACGCACTCTTATTTTTTAGACACGACCAAGAATTTTTTTTTTTTTTAAATAGCCTTTTGGGGTGATTTTACTCATATCACACAGAGTTGCTAAATATTGCTTTTCAAGTCATAGCAACATCAGATTTCCATGGAAAGATTTTTGTTAAATTATTTAAAAAAAAACTCTCTTCCCTTCAAATTAGGAAGGTAGGTTGACTTCATATAGTATTGTTTATTCACATAACCAGTTTGTAATTCATGTTGAGACACAGAGATTTTTATTTTTTATTTATATTTATTAGGTGATACGTACGTAGACGTATCACCTTTTGATTTCGTCAAGATTTTTATTATTATTATTTATTTATTTATTATTATTCTTCCTCAAATTGTTCGCAGGATATCTCAAGACTGAATAAAGCCATTATCATGAAACTTACCATGATAATAGATCTTAGTCTAACTTAGAACTGCGTGACTTTTTAGAGAGTCAAAATTATCGTGACGTCATCCAGGCGCCATTTTGTGAAAATCAACTAATGATCATATCTTCATAACGGAAAAGTATTTCTCATTCATAATTATCACGATTAAGATAAATATCCGTCCGGTCAAGTTGAGGTCAATAAAAGTGCGCAAATGCGCGCGTGCGCGTTTGTCCGCGCGTTTACGCGCGCGCAAAAATTTAAAATGCTCCAAATCATCCCAAATTTTTTTTGCATACGTTTCAGGCCATATGGAGCATTTGATAAAAAAATTACGCACACGCGCATGCGCGCGCGTTTTCGCGCGTACTGGCATTTTGCAACATAGAATCGCCGATTTTTTTCTGTCATCATATTCGGTACATTTTTCCAAGCATTTTGATAATTTGTTCACCTTTTATTAACGCAATGAGCGTCCGTCAAAGTTGACAGCACGCGCGGATTTGCGTTATCTTTATCCACAATACATGGGCAAAAACATGCCTATATAAAATTCATTGTAACTCTTTAGAATAGATGGAAACTCCTAATATTTTTTCATATTTGGATAGATTATGAGTCGGAGATATGATTTCATGACTCATTTTATCCTCAATTAACTCATGACGTCATCATAATGGCCTCCAAACTCAAAATTTTAATTTGCATATTATGACGTCAGCATATTTTTGGAAAATTGATTGTATCTCTGTAAATATGGATCAATTTTCTTTTTAATTTTGATATGTTCTAGCTGAGACAATTTTCTACAAATGTAGTATTCACAATTTTTATTTTTGACAAAAGTATCATGGTGTGTTTTTGCGATTAAAGGAGGCATGTCAATTTTTCGCATTTTGCGTGTATTCTCTATGGGACATGACTTTTTCTCAAAACTGGATTCTACGCTCCTGTCTTTCGCGAGCAAAATCTCAGTTGTTTTAGCTTCGTTTTCGCTGAGCTTTGGATATGTTGTAGCTAAGACAATGAGCTATCAAAAGTGTGACTATTATTTTTCGATTAGATGCCGGGATCATGCTCATATTTCACTTGCAAAGTAGGATTTCTGAATTCCATTTCCCGTTTACGTGTAATCGCTATGGGAGATGTTTTGGTATATCGGTAACGCACTTGACTTCCAACCTCGAGATCCCTGGTTTGAGTCCGGGTGTCTCCAACACTTTTTTTTTTCACTTTTTTTTCCTTTTGACCTTCACTGTACCATCTCCTTTGAATATTTAAACACGTAGATTCGCAAATAATGTCATAAATAACCCTTTTTACTTTATTATTACCCTATTTTCACTTAATCCATTACTTTTTGCGTGTAATCCCTATGGGAGATGACTTTTTCTAAAATCTGGAGTCTACATTCCTGTCTTTTGCGAGCAATATCGCCGTTATTTCGGCTTGAATTTTGTTGATTTTTGAGTATGTTGTAGCTGAGACTATATGCTATCTAAATCAACCCTCATGTTTTCAATAAGATGTCATGATCGCGCTCATGATCATGATCATGATGATCATGATCATCATTATCTTAATGATGATAATCATTTATCAATTACATTTTCATTTCTTTGAATAAGATAAAAATCGTCAAAAGGTGTTCTTCATGATGTAAATTAGAGTCAAATGTGTAACTGGTTACTGCACAGGGTCAAAGGTCATATATTGTTTCAATCTATCTTCCCTAGATCCATGATGATCAAGGAGACACAATTTAATCTTGACATATGAAAAAAATAAAAAAAAATTATTTGACGAATAAAAATCGTCAAAAGGTGTTCTTCATGATGTAAATTAGAGTCAAATGTGTAACTGGTTACTGCACGGGGTCAAAGGTCATATATTGTTTCAATCTATCTTCCCTAGATCCATGATGATCAAGGAGACACAATTTAATCTTGACATATGAATAGATCATAATGGGAGAAGCATATGAATGGGAGAAGCATTTTACAAAATAATATATCGTGTAATGCATTATTCGTTATGTAGACCATTATCATACGTATCACCTAATTCGTCTAAGTGACGAATTAAAGTCTAGTTTATTTTTGTTGTTGTTTTTTTAAAGCCAAATTAAGCTTGCTTTATCATGTGCTGCGATTTGAGAGTTTATGTATTGCGTGTGTTGGCAGGTATGCCTTTGAATATTTACTCACGTGTATTGCATATTCGAACCCTTTACAGCATCTGATGGAGACGTCCGCATCGTAGGGGGTCCAAACTACCTCATGGGGCGTGTCGAGATCTACAATGAAGGGTCCTGGGGAACCGTGTGCGACGACAACTTCGATCTCAACGACGCCCACGTGATCTGTCGTCAGGCCGTCTCCGCGGAGGCCGTGACCTTTGCTCCCAACGCTTTCTTTGGCCCTGGAAACAATAGTATCGTTTACGACGAGCTGGATTGTGGGGGTTATGAGACTAACTTGGCGGAGTGTCCGCGGGGTCTCGGGAGGCAGGGTGATTGTACGCATGCTGAGGATGCGTCGGTGGCTTGTCAGATACCAGGTTAGAAACAAGCCCCTCCCTTTGAACGTTCGGTTAAAGAGAAGGTTGAGTTCTGGGAAGAGGTAAAAATATAATTTTGCATGTTCAGATTTTCTCCACGTAGGATAATTAGGCCACACGGTGTCAGGCAGCTTGAAATTACTTGCGTACTGCACGCAGGCCACATGCGGAGGGTCACATACAACCCCTAAATCTCTACGTGGACCCCTCGCTAAGTCTACGCTGGTGGGATGAAACTGAGGCCATAGCTTTTTAAATGGTCCGTATGAATTCATAATTTGTGGTTTTATAAAGTATGTAGGAATAGTAGAAATTATTTTCAATCTTTCATCAATTTAACAAACGAATTACATGGTGCTACGAGGATCTGAAAGGAAAGATTATCCTTCTTTCCTCCGTCTGTCTCTCTCTCCCTCTTTCCCTCTCTCCCTCTCTCTCTCTCTCTCTCTGTCTGTCTCTCTATATCTCTCCCTATGTCTCTGTCTCTCTCTCATTCCCTCCCTTCCTCCCTCTCTCTCTTCTATTCACCCCAGTCCGACTTGTTGGAGGATCAGGCCCTCATGAGGGGAGGGTGGAGGTGCGTTACTTCGGAGGATGGGGAGCCGTCTGTGACTCAGAATGGAGTGTGGAGGACGGTGATGTCGTCTGCAGGCAGCTCGGGTACGAGGGCGCAGCAGAGGTGTTCTACCAGGCGCACTTTGCCCCTGGAGAGGGCAGGGTTGTCCTGGATGGCCTACGTTGCCATGGGAACGAGAGCCAGTTGATGCTGTGCCCGCATCAAGGAATCCTTACCAATAGGAATGGCTGCACCAATGACAATGAGGCGGGAGTGAGATGCAGAGAGGAACCTGGTAAGATAAAAGTTCACCGATTAAAAACCTGAAACAGAGAAAAAAAATAAATGTAGTTTCAATATCTGACCTTGTCTTATAGCAAAGATTATCTAAATGCTTTCAATCATACATCTAGGACTCCACACGTAATTTTTCTCTGGAAGAGTATGTATACATGAGCCCTATGTAAACAAAAAAAAATGTACATTCTTGAGTGCAGTATGTACTTTGTATGTAAAGTGTATTTTCAAAATTTTGAATGAAACGAAGTGAAAAAGTGCAACTGCAGTAATGCTGTATCCAACTTTCCCTCCTTCCTCCTTAGATACCACCACCCCTCCTACCACAACCGGCTACAACCTTGGTGACAATGCTACCACTTCCAGGGCTAGGCCTACCACCACCACCACCACCACCACCATGCCCCCTACCACTGCCCCAGTCGACCCCACCAACAATGGAAGGGTGCGTCTGGTGGGCGGGGCTACACCCAACGAGGGGCGTGTGGAATGGAACGTCAAAGGCATCTGGGGGTCGGTCTGCGATGACTACTGGGACTTAAAGGATGCCACCGTTGTCTGCCGGGAGTTGGGATTCGTCTCGGCTCGTGAGGCGGTGATGCTTGCAGCCTTTGGGCAGAGCAGCGGACCGATAGTCGCGGATGATGTCCGGTGTCGCGGTACGGAGGAGAGCTTCTCTAATTGCACCAAGAGTACTTCCAATAACTGTGGGCATTCTGAGGATGCAGGAGTCATCTGTAACACTGGTAAATTATGACAGGACTATGCTATCCAATTGTAAACAGTGCATGTTTGTAGTGTATATAGGCCAGTGGTGGATCAAAGTGGCACTGGGGGGGTGGTCATACTCTTCCTCCCCCCCCCCCCCCATCCCCTTCAACACAAAGTCCATAATACAAATCAAAGTTGGCCTCAATGTAGTTGTAAGACCCATAGCTACACATGGAAACAGACCACTGTGTAGCTTTAATACATGCACACATGTACATGTATATACTAGGGTAAAAACTAGATTTTCCCTTCCCTCCCCCCACTATTTTTGGTTCTTGCAGAAATTTATGAACAGAATTTGTATTTTCAGACAATTTCAGAAGTTGATACTGCTGTCATATATATATATATATATTTTGTTTGTTTAGAACCCAACTCCTACTCTCCTACCCTCATCGAACTGCAATCCAACGCGACTTTTGCTTCAGGGACGTTGGGCGTCGGTGGAACCAATGAGACGGCAGCCCTCTATGTATGCAGCGAGGGCTTTAACTTTGTGGATGCCACAGTGGTATGCCATGAGCTGGGTTACCGTAGTGCTGCGAGGACGTACGAGAGGACTGCAGAGCGAGGTGACGCCAATGCAGCAGTTAGGTTTGAATGTGTCGGCAATGAGAAGATGCTTCGGGAATGCTCGACTGCGGAGTATGATCCGGTGGATTGGTACTGCCAGCCGTTTGAGGCAGCAGGCCTGGATTGTTTCCCAGGTAAGTTATGTAATCTAAAACATTTGATTTAATCTTTCTAAAATAAGGAAATTGTCCTATAATTCAGTAAGCAGTTAATATTTTATATTTATATACATTGAATCCAAACTCCACCCTCTCCCATTCTTTCCTTCTACTCTTTGTCTCTCTCACTCTCGCTCTCTCTCTCTCTCTCTTTGTCTCTCTCACTCTTTCTCTCTCCGTCTCTCACTCTCTCTCTCTCTCTCACTTGGATAATCCTATTAAAAGGTCTCAACTCAATAGCATCAATTTGATTTGTTTTCCTCTCTCCCAGCATATGACGGCGTGTCCGTAGCCCTCATTGGCGGTAGCGCTCCCTGGGAGGGTCGATTGGAAGTGACTATCGACACCGTAACCGGAACCGTATGTGACGATTACTTCAGCATGGACGACGCCCACGTAGCCTGCCGGACTCTCGGGTATCCAGGCGCCGTCTCGTTGCCCGGTAGCGGTGTGTTCGGGGCAGGAACTGGAGAGATCTTCCTGGATAATGTCGAATGTTCCGGAGATGAGGATCACATTCTGGACTGCGTGCATGATGGTGTAGGGATTCATAACTGCGGTCATAGCGAAGATGTCTCTATCATCTGTGATGGGGGTAAGGAAATTTCTTAGTCAAATCTATTAAGATTAATTTTACTTTGCAGAAAACAAGATGAAATACAGCTTTCAATTCGTAATGCATCTGCCCCCTCCAGAAATTTGTCATTAATGTAAATTTGTACATGCAAATCTTAAAAAACAAAAACATCTGGCACATTTGTAGCTATTCTATTTTCTTCTTTAATTCACTCCAAGATTTATCTGTTGTGAAGTCATTTTACCAAATTGTGAAAATATCTATTTGGATAGCAAGTTTGCACAAATCTGGCTCTCCATTAGACCTATGTAACTGTGAAATTTATTGACTTTGATGTCTCCCAAAAGATTCTCCGATCTTTGAAATCTAAAGAAAACTTTTGCTTCCTAATTTTCTGAAGTTTGTATATCAGGTCCAGTTGCACAAAACTTACCATTGATGGTAACTACCATGGAAACCTTGATTTTGATGGGCTGTTGAGCCATGTTACCATGATGGTAGTTGCCATTGCAAATTTACTATCAATGGTAAGTTTTATGCAACGGGGCCCAGATCTTCCAACCATTAATTACTTGTATTCTACTTTGTATGAAAGATATTCTATTGTTATTTTACAGGTGGTGTGCGACCCACAACAGCAGCCGACAAGATTCGCCTGATGGGCGGAAGCGTCCCCTCTGAGGGGCGTGTGGAAGTCCTCCACAACGGTGCATGGGGAACGATCTGCAACGAGGGCTGGGACATCAACGATGCAAACACTGTCTGTCGTATGCTCGGCTTTACAGATGGCGCTCTTCAAGCCGTCACGTCTCCCGAGTTTGGCGAGGGCTCCGGTCCCATCGTGTTGAGCAATGTGGCTTGCAAGGAAAATGACACTAACTTGTTGGAGTGTAGCTTTCCACCGTTCGGCACGCATACATGTTATTTTACAAGGATGGATGCAGGGGTACGATGCAGTATTGGAGAAGTTATACGTAAGCTATAATTAATTTTGGCCATTACAGGAAGTGAGTTATTGATGGAGACAAATTCTCATGTACCCTTTACAGCTCATTTTATGTACGTTATCACCAAAGAAAAAAAGAAATCAGTCAGTCACTCAATATTGTCTGACAGTGAAATCTAGCGTAAACGGCTTTCCTTGCATAATTTGAATACTAGGACACTGCTAAAGTTTAAATTTCACAGATAGGACATACGTGACCTATTCATAATTCCCAAAAAGTTTTACAGATTGTGATGTTGGCTGCAAATGGGACATTAGTACCTTTAACTAATTGCCTACCAATATTAAAGCCTATGGGAATTAGAGATAAATCAGCTATCAATGGGTTTATCCGTGATGTTATTTTTTTTTGTTAACAGCCAACCCATTAGCTGTAGAGGTGCGTCTGATCAACGGTAGCCGAGCAAGCGAAGGGCGAGTAGAGGTCTTCTATAACAACACATGGAGCTCTGTATGTGATGATGCTTGGGACTTACAGGACGCCCTCGTGGTTTGCCGGCAGTTAGGCTACCCAGGAGCAGCAGCAGCACCGTTACGTTCAAGGTATGGGATCGAGAGGGGTGTAACGGGAGTGGGCAATAACGACTAAGCATCTAATTGCCCAAATTTGTCCTGAAAATAGCTATTTGTCTTCTTCCACTGCACTACTTATAGCTACTTGCACCCTCTGTATAGCAAACAATGCATGTCTAATCGGGGACCAACGGGCACCGATGATCCTCTTTTTCTTATTTTCATTGAGAGCTGAGTTGATGAGATAGCCACCTGTCAGTGACCACGCTGGGTGGTGTAATCCGCCCTGGCCAAACTAGTGCAAAGTGGCTTAAAATATGTCCTTGTAAATGATTGTATTATGAAATTCGTCTGAACTAAATAATGGACTCAAACTAGTACATGTAATTAACTTTGATTCCATGATTGTTTCAGATATTTACTATTAAACTTGGTAATTTTCATTTAATTAGAATCAAGCCTCAAATGTTTACCTACAAGTTTACAGTTATTTCTATGAAAGTAAAAGTTTCCTAGAGGAGATACCGGTAAGAAGAATGGTCTCTATGGGCAGATGGCATTTGTGTACAGGTTCTTTTTAATATTTGTGCTTTGATAAAAGGCATTGTTTAATGAAGAGAAAACAAAAGTTTGGTGTCACAGTAATATAGTTGTTATTGCATTGGTGTTTGAAGTATTAAAGTGCATTTAGTGATCTTTGACATGTATATCATTATGATACCCACCACCAGGTTTGGTTCTGGTGATGGAGTCATAGTCGTGGAAGACTTTGGTTGCCGTGGTAACGAGACAAACTTGGCGGAGTGTGATCATGACCCCTGGACGATACATGACTGCACCCACCAGGAAGATGCTTCAGTTGTATGCCTCGAAGGTAAGGAATTCAAGATGAAGTTTAAAGTTCTGCATGGTCAAAGAAAAAGGTTTATTGTAACCTTCTTTTTGGCTCAGTGTCAAATTACCTTGTCCATTGCAACTATATATTTTGTCTACGTCATGTACCATTCAGTCTCATGTCCAGTTTGTCTTTTGATAGTCTAGGCCCCATTTCACAAAAACTTGTCATCAGTGAAAAGTGACAGTTTTTGTTATAAGCTAGTGAAATCCTTGCTTCTGATTGATTATCAGCAGATTTGTCACTGATTTGTCATTGAAAAAAGGCTTTGAGAAATGGGTCCCAGGTTTAATCATTAATTTTCATGTAATTCCATTATTCTCTGGACCAATATTTTATTACTGAAAGTCTGTCACCACCAGGACTCAGCAGAAAGGAATTTACTTTTTGGGGCAATGTGTGTGTGTGTGTGTGTGTGTGTAGTTTGAGTATTTACAGACTTGTACCAATCAGATATAATAGTTAAGGTCTGGGGACCAACCTTTAACGTCACCATCTAAAACCATGCTGAGTCAGTTTGTAGGTGAAGACAGAGAGCTGACCATACCAAGGACGTTACCGCTAGACCATACCGAGGACGTTACCCTTGAGACCATACCGAGGACGTTACCGCTAGACCATACCAAGGACGTTACCGCTAGACCATACCTAGGACGTTACCGCTAGACCATACCTAGGATGTTACCGCTAGACCATACCAAGGACACTACCGCTAGACCATACCAAGGACATTACCGCTAGACCATACCAAGGACATTACCGCTAGACCATACCAAGGACGTTACCGCTAAACCATACCAAGGACGTTACCACTAGACCATACCAAGAACGTTACTGTTAGACCATACCAAGGACGTTACCGCTAGACCATACCAAGGATGTTACCGCTAGACCATACCAAGGACGTTACCGCTAGACCATACCAAGGACATTACCGCTAGACCATACCAAGGACATTACCGCTAGACCATACCAAGGACATTACCGCTAGACCATACCTAGGACATTACCGCTAGACCATACCCAGGACATTACCGCTAGACCAATTAACTCACATCTCCCTATCAAAAATGGAAGATTAGGTGGGGATCAAACCCAATCTTTGCAATGTGACGTGAACTCTGCCTCGCTGCAATGGGATGGGGTTGTTTTTATGGTGTTTTTTAATTTTAAATTTCTATCTCTTGGACATGTTAGAAATGTATTTACATGCACCCTTAACCTTTGTCCTTTTTTAACAAGAATGATCTCGATTTATAAAGCGCTTAATACGGAATACCATCTCTAAGCGCTTTACAGATATTAATAACCTGGTTATCAGATTCATTCATGCACAATGTCCACCATCATTCCCTGGGGAGTATTCCTACGTGTACCATATGGTTACCGTGAGGGCAATTACTACCGGAGTGTTGGCTCAGTCAGTAGAGCGTCCGCCACACAACCGGGAGGTCGTGGGTTCGAACCCCGGCCGCGTCATACCAAAAAAGACGTTAAAAGATGGGAGTTGTTGCTACCTTGTTTGGCGTTCAACAATAAGGGATAGAGCAACGTCGATCTGGCGCTGCTCAGTGGCTGCCGGGCTCACGATCAATTGGGCAAAAAGAATTTCCGTTTCGGTTTAATAAAAATTTGGAGTGGACTATTATTAGGCTATTATTATTATTATTATTATTATTACTAACACAATGATACTTTCGTCATCCTACCAGGTTCCCATTTCTCTCTTGGGTATTGAATGGCAAATGTAGAGTAATGCCTTGCCAAAGGACATAGTTCCATGGCGGGGATCGATCCACGACCTTTGAATTCCAAATCAAGTGCTTAAAGCTTATCAGTACTAGTGTAAAGGAGGGTTTAGACCACCATGCCAGGTCACTGGACAGGTGGTTATCTCATCAACTCAGCTCTCAGTTAACATAAGAAAAAGAGGATCATGGGGGACCAATGGTCACCGATTAGACATTGTTTGTTATATAGAAGGAGCAAGTAGCTACAAGTAGTGCAGTGGGCCTTTAAACCACTCAACTACCACACTCCTTCTTTACAGATCTGTCAGCACCAGTGCGTCTTGAGGGAGGTATCTATCCCGGTGAGGGGCGAGTAGAGATCTACCTTGATGGCCAGTGGGGGACGGTTTGTGATGATGGCTTCACACGTACTGAAGGAGACATTGTATGCCGTCAGCTTGGCTATACAGGGGTTCTCAAGGTAGGTAGTAGATTGAATTTAGTTGTTGATCTTTCTGTATCTGTAAAGCATTTTTTGTGCAGCAGTCCTGGGGGCTGTTTCATAAAGATGTTCGTAAAGTTACGCATGACTTTACGAACGACTTGTATATGAAAAACCAAATGGGATGCTCAATAATTATTAAATACATTAACTAGAGTTGAACTGTGCAGATGTAGATTAACAGTCTTATGATAACAAACATTTTTAATGCAAAGTATATTTTTTGCCATAATTCAATTTGGGCAAACTTTGGGCATCCTATCTGGCACTTCATATACAAGTCGTTCGTAAAGTCATGCGTAACTTTACGAACAGCTTTATGAAACACCCCACTGGATAAATAGATATACTGTGCTGGAAGTAAAGGAAAAGCTTTGATAAAATGAGTACCTCTACTCCAGTCAGGAAGCAGTCGAGAATTGATGTTGCCAAAATGTGCAGAAATAGAAAGCTACTAATTTTACATGCATGATGACAATGGATAGAATAGATATATCAGAATCACTGCAAAAAAAAAATCTTTCTTGCCTATAACTTGTCTGTTTCCAGGCTTTTTCCATATAAATTCAAATTAATTCATCAATCGTCACGCTTTGCTTTCCTTTCGGTCTCATTTACAGATTTTATCGGGTGAACACTTTGGGGGTCTGGAGTATCTTCCCATCTTGCTTGACGATGTGACATGTACCGGTGACGAGACTTCTCTAGCCATGTGTACGCATAGAGGACTCAGGGAACATAACTGTGTACAATCAGAGAATGTTGGCCTCATCTGTAACACATGTAAATGTTTTCTTTGATTTATTTTATATTAACTGTTCATACTGTAAACCAGAATATTTTGCTACAACATACTCTTACAACTTGTAAAATTTCTAGTTGTAAGAGAAATGTTTTGAAAGTGGAGTATTTTAACACCTTGAGAAATTCATGAAATGAACTTTTCCAGTAGTTTAAACATATATATTTTGCATGTATATCTGACTTGTACAAGTTTTGTTTAACATTATAAACAATCATTCTTTAAATCTGTTTGATTTTTTCCTTGCATCGATCAGTGTCTACATGTAAAAAAATATATATCAAGGAGGGTCTTTTCTATGATTTGTTTTTCTCTCTCCCATTTTATCCCTCTCTGTGTTTATCCCTCTCTCTCTCTCTCATTATCTCCCTCTCTGTGTGGTTCTCAATCTCTCTCTCTCATTCTCTCCCTCTCCCTCTCTCTTTGTCTCTCTTTTTCTCATTCTTTCCCTCTCTATGTTTCTCTTTCTCTCTCATTCTCTCCCTCTCTATGTCTTCCTCTCTCTTATTATCTCTCTATCTTTCATTCTTTCTCTCTCTGCCTCTCCCCCTCTCTCTCTGCCTCTCACCCTCTCTCTCTGCCTCTCCCCCTCTCTTTCCTCTCTCTGTGTTATAGCTTCAGCATATTTCCCCAATGCTCCAGTGAGATTGAATGGAAAATCAGAAGGAGAAGGGAGAGTAGAAGTCTACAATGCAGGAGAGTGGAGGGCTATCTGTGATACTAAGTATGAACACCTGGGGAGTGTTTCACAAAGATTAAGATCGACTTTAAGTTGGACTTAACTCAGGCCACTGGTTGCTCTCACCATTACAATCTTTAGATAATATTTTTTCCTTCAATAATTGACTATCAAGAAATGTAGATTTGTGACCAAGATTTGTATGGTCCTTGAGATACCAATGCCAGTAAATGGTGAGAGAAAACTGGCATGAACGGCCTGCCATAGTTAAGTCCAACTTAAAGTCGATCTTAGTCTTTGTGAAACACTCCCCTGTACCACATTTTCACTAACGTCATTGAATTGAATTTATTAAATCATATACATGTAAAAGCAAAACATGCAATAGAAACTTTACATAAAACATACAAATACAAAGCAAACATATGGTCAAGACCACAAAAGCAAATTGCTTATTAATAGGGCGCCCGCAAAAAAACTAATTAAATTCATATTGCGTTGTATGTGTATTTAAATTGCATGAAATGCTGTTATATATTTGTACATATCAAATATGCTGATTAATCCATCATTCAGTACAGTATGTGACATGATAATGTTGTTGGAAAATCAGATAATTCCTTCACAAAAACTGCTACAGAGTTCTAATCCTATTTCTGCTCTGATGAGTTATACTGTATATTAATGATTTGCAAGCTAAGAATATTGTTTATGAGAATCTTACTATAGCTATAGGAAAATTTATTCCACTTTTTGGTTGTTGTAAGGTGCCCGGTCATACTGTATTCATATACATATTTTCTTCATTGTTCATCTTGCAGTTGGGACCTGAATGAGGCCAGCGTGGTATGTCGTCAGCTAGGCTATCCCAGGGCTGTTATAGCAGACACAGGTTCTTATTACGGAGGTGAGCCCATAGGCTTCTGGCTGTATGACGTCAAGTGTTCTGGGACGGAGTCTAACCTCGGCCAGTGTAGCCACGCTGAGTGGGGTCAAGGGTCATGTGTCTTCAGCCAAGAAGCAGGGGTGCTATGTTTTCCAGGTGAGTGCTGATTTTAAAGACATTAATGTTGGCTTGCATTTAATGATGGACTAAATGAAATATGGTTCCAAGTACTAAAGTCCACTTATTTACACACATAGAGGTGTCATGGTCGAGTGCATGGATACTTCACTGGACTGTGGATCACAAGGTCTGCGGTTCGAGTCCCGCCTCGACACTAATATCCTTTGGCAAGACATTGATCTACATTTGCCACACTTAACTCAGGTGATGGGTACCTGGCAGGAATTAATTCCTTGAAATGCTAGAGTGCCATAACGGCAGCCGTGCTTAAGCCAGGGTAATAATTGGAAGCGCTAGGATTGTCGAGTCTGACTGATTTGAGCGCTATAAAAGAACCCACTATCATTATTAATGTATATGGAGCTCCAAATTTAATGCTATGTTTGTTGTACAAATAACTCTTATTTTGCAATAAAATGAATTTTTAAAATCAATTATTTTCACATTTTGATAAAAATCACAGTAACAAACATTTACAATACAAAGTCAATTAAAAAAATAACACAACAGAACAAAAGTATCAAAATGTGGGGGGGGGGGGCAACAAACAAGGGCCAAAGGCCTATCAAGGGCTTGTCCCCAAACTATATAAATAACAAAAATATACAAAAATGTATAAGAAGGTTATTTCTTTGCTCCCAATGCAAGGAGTTTTTCATAACAAGCTAGGTTCTACATTACGTGTTTAATCAACATTATTTCTTTGTGACTGTCTTACAGCAAGCAGCGGTGATGTCCGTCTAACCCAAGGCAGGAGCAGTCTAGAGGGAAGGGTAGAGCTCTTCTATGAGGGTGAATGGGGCACAGTGTGTGATGACATGTGGAACAGACAAGGTAGGCTATGTGAATGGGGCACAGTGTGTGATGATATGTGGAACAGACAAGGTAGGCTATGTGAATGGGGCACAGTGTGTGATGATATGTGGAACAGACAAGGTAGGCTATGTGAATGGGGCACAGTGTGTGATGACATGTGGAACAGACAAGGTAGGCTATGTGAATGGGGCACAGTGTGTGATGATATGTGGAACAGACAAGGTAGGCTATGTGAATGGGGCACAGTGTGTGATGATATGTGGAACAGACAAGGTAGGCTATGTGAATGGGGCACAGTGTGTGATGATATGTGGAACAGACAAGGTAGCTATGTAAATGGGGCACAGTGTGTGATGATATGTGGAACAGGCAAGGTAGGCTATGAATGGGGCACAGTGTGTGATGATACATGTGGAACAGACAAGGTAGGCTATGTATTTACACCATAAAAGGGGACCAGTCACTCCATTAATATTTTATTTTATCTGTACGACAATTGGCATTGGGGGTTCCATCCCTGTATATTAACCATTTCCTATGTGATACCCCCTTCACATGCACAGATTTTTCTTACGAGTCCTTACGGATCGCACAAACTCACAGATCTTTCACGGATCCTTACGGTTTGGCCACTTTTACGAACGGTTTAAGAGTTATTACGAGCTGTTTGCGGTTTACTACGGATCATTACGAGTTATTACGATGTATTTATGGCAACAGTCCATGATTTGTTACGAGTTGTCACGAATAACTACGAGCAACTAACGTGTTGGTTACGACCTGTTTACGTGTTTTTACGAATGGTTACAAGTATTACAAGTCCTTAAGACTTTTAGCCAAAAAATAACAACTGAAAATTCAGTTTTCGAATTTGCAGCTTTTATACCTTCCCCAAATCATAAACAGTTTGTAAGCAAACGTAAAGTATACTTATCTATTCGTAAAGTACTCGTAACTACATGTAAAATGCTCGAAATAACGTGTATCAATCCGTAAAGCCATCATAAAATGACCCAAATGAAATTGTAAACAACACGTAAGCACACGTAACCATCCGTAAACTGCTCGCAATATTCCTTAAATAATCCGTAAACAAATCGTAAACTAACCGTAACGAATCGTTACAAAAATCTGTTACGAGTCATTTACGGATTCTTGTGAGCAGCTAACGGATGGTTACGTGTTGTTGCGAGCGGTATACAGATTGTTACAAGCTATTTACGGACAAATCAATCCATGGACAATCGTACAAAGATTTTTGACATGTCAAAAAATTTGCCTCTCCTTTCACGGATCCTTAGGAGTGTCTACGAGTCGTTGCGAGTTGTGACAAGTTATTTACGGATGCTTGCGATTGACTACGAGTTGGCAATCCGTAAGGACTCATAAGAAAAATCTGTGTATGTGAAGAGGGTATAAACTGAGTAGTCCCTTTCGTAAAATGTACCAGTCACCAAAAAATATCTTGTTTTGTATGTTATTAATTATTTCCATGTGGTGATATGTACTATATTCAAAAAATGAGATTCAACAATTTTTGCAAGTTTAGAAACACTCTTAATATAATCAACATGAAAGCAACTTGTAAGTAGACTACTCGATGCAACCGTACTCACTTGCATAATGTATGGGCCGCATGGAATTAATGTCTTTTAATTCTCAAGATATTAATGTACATTTGCCACTCTTTACCCAGGAGTTCAATGGGTACCGGTAGGAAGGGATTCCTTGAATGCCCTGAGCACCAAAAACAGTAGCCTAGGAGAACCAATTGGTAGTATTGGTGCACCTAGCTTGTTAGCTATGTGAACTATTAAATATTAGTATTATTATTATCTTTATCTTTTTAAAGTGTTGAGAGCACTAAATTTAATTTACAATGTGTTTTGCATTTCTTCACTATTTGCACAGATGCTGATGTAGTATGTCATCAACTAGGCTTCGGCCCAGCCGCTGGTGTGTTCAGTGGGGCTGTCTTTGGTGCAGGCAGTGGACCGATCCATGTAGATAACCTAGAATGTACTGGGAACGAGTCTAGGCTGACGGACTGCATGAGGAGCGAGATTGGAGAGCATAACTGCGGGCATCAGGAAGATGCTAGCGTGTCCTGTACTTTACCAGGTCAGTGATTGGCTGAATAATGAATAACACTTTCCATTTAATTGACTCCTTGTGATAACTCTCAGGATGTAAACACTAGGGGGTGTTTCATGCACAAAGCCTTTTTTCAATGACAAATTACAAAAATCAGTTACAAATCTGCTGATAACCAATCAGAAGCAAGGATTTCAGTAGCTGTATGTTATATAACATAAACTGTCATTTGTTACTGATGACAAGTTTTGTGAAATTGGGCTCAGCTCAGCTTAGAAGATCTTGATAAAATGTTGTAAGAACGTTTAAGATTGATAAAAGGGATCTGAAGGGAGAAGGAATGGGAACAAAAAGATGGATGAAAGGAACATGAAAGAAATATGGGACAACCAAATCAGACATACAGGGGGAAGCAAAAGGAGATCGATCGAGGGAACCAAGACGTAAAAGACGGAAGTCGGAAGTAAGGGAGAGAGAAATGCAATTGAAGTAATCTGTTTAATTTTAAGCCCTAGATAAGTTGTCTGTCTGTAAAAAATATGGTAGTTTTTTTATTGACCAAAGTCGATTATATCTTTTGGGTAAACAAACTCATTACTATTAAGCCCTTCTTACTAGCTTGCTCCATGCCTTTCTTTCCCTTTCTCAGTGCGTCTTTCTGGCGCCAACTCCTCCAGCGAGGGCCGCGTCCAAGTCTACTTCGAGGGTGATTGGGGCAAGGTTTGCCAGGATGACTTTACCGACATCGAAGCGACGATCGTCTGTCGCCAGCTGGGCTTTGCCGGCGGGAACCACACCGATGCTACCCAGTATGATGCTGTTGATGGTCTTTTCCATTTGGACAATGTAACCTGTAGAGGTGATGAGCTGATGATAAGCACATGCCAGCATAATGGATGGGGCAAGCATGATTGCTTCGAGGATGAGGACGCGGCGGTGGTGTGTTTTTGAACGCCATCTCTTAAAGCCTATCTGTACTAGTTTGTTCATATTCAGTACATTTAGATAGTGTAAAGGATTTCTAGAATTGTGAAAATCCATCAGGGAAATGTATTATGAAAACCAATGAGAATTATCTTTAGAAATGTTATACTGATTTGTAAAGGCACTCTAATCGGTATGAAAGTATTATGTAATGGGCAAAGAATATCTGGAACATGTAACATTTGCTCAGCATTAGCACAAGTAGAAATATCAAATCAACTAATCTATTTATTGTAACTGACTTGTAGACTTTGCTTGAATAAACACGTTATTTATCCATGTTAACTTTAATTAATACCATTATACAACATGTATTTAGTAAATATTCAGGATTTGATGTGTTATCTTGGTATTATTGTTAAATAGGCAACCACCTTTCGCTCTGCGTAGTAGCGCGCTTCATAGCATGATACGTTGGATCTCTAAATCCCACCGCATAGACACTACACAAAAGTGTGTGTGCAAATCAGTGAAAGAGTTGTTCAGTCCAAAACCATGATATAGCCCTTTTCATTTCTGAATATGTTGAAAATGTCTTAATATTTGTTATCGAGTTGAAAATGAAATCTCATGTACATTATTGTATATCGATTGCTTTGAGACTCTAGTTCATCATGTGCTAGATTTAAGATAAATATGGAAATATAAATGGTGATGCATGTTAAACACAATACGTGTCCCAAGAACATTATACATGTACAGGTATGTACAAGTAACAACTAAATTATTCATACCTTATGTGAATTTAATGTTTTTTGTTTTTTCGTATATAACTAAACTAGAATGGAAGATGGATTGGTAGAGTAAGGGCCTTAGTTGAATATTTTAGATGTAAGCTTTTACTATGTCACATTCTCAAGAAACATAAATGGGGACAAATAAATTTTTCACATACTTAAAAATTTACAAAACTTTGCAAGGGTATGAATAATTTAGTTGCTATCGGTACATGTAATAACAAATTATAGTAAAACAAAGTAAATGTACATGTATTGTCAGTAGTAATGCAAGGTTTTATATAGATTCTCTTTCCCATTATCTGAATGAGATCGATGATCATCTCATATATATTGATTGAGCCCCTATTTTGCTTGCAGATATTTTTTGCTCAGGACAGGGGGCACAGACATGAGACTACGTAGTATATAGAAATAGTTATTTTGTCTACATCTTGCCGTTTTTATCAGCAATTATCTTGCAATGATACATGTACATTATGTGATATGTAAATAAATGATGGTACACGATTATGTACTGCAACAGAGAAAAATTAACTGTTTTTTTGCTCTTTAGTTTTGTTTGTGGTATGTTAAGCTTTTACATTTGAAAGTAACAATTCAACAAAGGTACTGGATAGCAGGATTGGTAATTATGATATCATTTATGTTCTTTCAATTAGCATTTGTGAGTGTATCATTATGTAGACATGTGCCAATCAGGCAAGATTTGACCGATTCTACTTGAAATTGAGACAAGAAAATGTTAGATGTACATGTACTATAAAACACCTTTGAACAAATGACAATTAAATAAAAAAAGATGCAAGACTTTAACATACGTGTTAATTCCAGTGAACATTTATTAAAATCATACAACAGTGAACATACAAGAATAAAATTGATTGAAATTGACTGAAAAACCTTGAGTTAATCCGCAAGAGGATTTTTGACAAAGTAGATATTTCCTTTCTTCCTGCGCCATATCAAATCACTTTGTACTCTGCAAAGGGCGTGAATGGTTGACAAACAAGTGGATGTACATTTTGAGAAAAATGCTCTTCCACAGTTAAAGTTGCTCAAGCATGTGTATATAGAGGGCAGCACACTGAGCCAACAGGTATTACGCTCCTGTGCGTACTAGTGTCCCTTTATGCATCCGTACGAGAGCATAATACCCGTTGGCTCAGTGTTATGACTGTAGTGATTGCCAAGTTGCCTACGTCACGAACGACATATATCCTTGCATGAACATCTTTAAGCTATTCTGTCCTGGGATCTATGTAATACATTTAGTCCAAATTGTAATAGTGATTATGGCGATAACTTACACATAAATGTAGTTCTGAGCATTCATTTTGAAGAAACCCTTCTGCGAAGGATTTAACAACATATTTTTGTTGAATTTCACTGGTACACCTCTCTAGTCTATGATGCAGGATTATTAATGTAAGTTAGTCAAGGTTTCTTAAGGACTGCAAGGTTTTGGCAGGTGATAATTTGCAATAATCATATAACATGATGCAATGAACAGATAATACTGTAACAAAAACCTTGTCATCAAATTAACTACCTAATTTTTTTATAATAATCAGGATTAGCATAGATCTACATCAACAAACACTGAATAGATAATAGAATTAAAGGTTAGGTAATTGTAATACTCATTTCATTATTAACAAAAGAATGATCCACAAAGCGTCTGAAAAAATGTAAAAATGAACCTCAAGTGTTCCGGTTTAAAGAATCCTCCCAAGAAATAAATTTTCTGATTAACAGAACCTAGCTAGCAAAAGACAAAACTTTTCGGTTGAATTAACCCTAGCAATAAAACATTCCACCAATTAAAATACTTAACTAAAATACATGGTACAACATTTCATGTCCTTAAACAGCGACATACATACATGTAGCACTGACTCCTAGACACATGCAAACAATAATGCAATAACCTCAGTAGGTATGCATGGTAAGTAATCATAATAAAAAGCTTTTCTTAGCACTAAATGGCAGTCTTAGGCTTATAATAATAATATGTCTTGTTTACCCAGGGTAGCCTCATCAGTATTCATACTGTTCTCCCTCAGGGTCCTGCAATCATATTATTACCCCGGTCATCGGATTCAGGCTTACCTGCACACAATGTATGCACATTCTCCACTCCCTGGGGAGCATTCCAGCCAGTGCATCATTTTTACAAGCGCACAGGCTTGCTCGGATATGATACGGTAAACCAACATTTTTAAAAACGCCACGTTTTTGCTACATATAATTAAAAGGGGCAAAGGACTGGCACTTATTCACTGAGTTATAAGATAATGATAAGTGTACAGTATGCACAAAGAATTACATCATCATTATAAAAATGCCCCGGTTCTACCCATCATTTCTGAACATGGCTTCAATGGAAAGGCTGTACATAAACGTAAATCCTTTCATCATAGAGTAATTCTTGGAAAATTCCCAGCTTCTGACCCCAAAACCCTAAACATTCAATCAATGAATTCCCAAAATTACGCTATGATGCTTGATGCTTGTGGTACATGTAAAAGGAGGAATAAGCACATTTCAAACGATAAAATAAACGTAAAAATTGCTGAATCTACACGAGTTCTAAATATACAAATAATATCTTTCAATTTTCCTAATACCTAACACATAACATAATTATCTAACCCCTATACATACCTTCGTTGATTAATAATCAATTAAAAATGAGTTTGCGATCAATAATACAAATGATTAGCATTACAAGGTAAAATACGATTACATAATTTTGGCAACGTGTGCATGGGGCAAACAGTTGTTGACCACAGGGAAAGTTGCTAGAGTACATATTGCATTGCTACAAATACAGGAGGTACATAAAACAATTGCCCTTTGTTGCTGCTCTTGTTGCTGTCGTTGCTGAACTGGTACATGTACAATGGTCGCAGTAGTTGACCAGAGAATATGTTGCCATACAAAATGTTACAATTCCTTGTAGTACATTTAAAAAGTAAAAAGTATCATTAACTATCCAATTGCAGTTCTACAGGAGTTGAATTTGTTGCTGCTCTTATTGTTGTTGCTGCTGTTGCCCAGATAGTGCATAGAGTTGCGTTACAACACACATGTTGCCAGAGCAAATAGTGCATCTTTACAACTACATGTGGTAGATATATGTGGTAGATAAAACAAACAACATCATTTCATATCTTACGGCTGTTGTGCAGGTTGCTTTGGGGGTGGGGGTTGATTTTGTTGCTGTTGTTGCTGTTGTTGCTGTTGTTGTTGCTGATCTGAAGCAGGTGGTGGTGGTGGTTGGCTAGCAGGTGGCTGTTGCGGCTGACCTGCTGGGGGTTGTTGTGGCTGACCTGCTGGTGGTTGTTGTGGCTGACCTGCTGGGGGTTGTTGTGGCTGACCTGCTGGTGGTTGTTGTGGCTGACCTGCGGGGGGTTGTGGGGGTTGTTGATTTGCTGCTGCTATATTGCCTGGTGGATCGTGCCTAGTTACTGGTTGTGTGTCTCCTTCAAATCGTATCTGGAAGGTTTGAATGGAGAAAAAAATAAACTTATCAGTACATGTCTATTTATCGGTACATTGCATGTGGCTTGTATAGTGTACATCTACAGTACATCTAAAAAAAGCATGACCAATAATTTCTTTTGAGACACCAGCTTAAATTAGTAATCCCATACAATGGTGTGCATTTCCACTAGAAGTAAAAAGATAGTACTGCAGCTGGTGATCAAAATTATAATAAAAGAATATAAATAATCACTAAAATGGCACAGTGCAATGTAAATATTCTAGTCCATGCATGAAAGGAACACTGCCATACACTAGGATAAACATTCAAGGTAGAACAAGGATGTGCTTTTTTCAAGGCAAGTTATGTACACAATTAATGCACAGAAATCACATCCATTAATAAACAATTTTAGTTTTTTTAGAAAACCAAACCTCCAATGCTCTGTAAATGAGGAAAATAATCGTGATACAGACATAAACACCCCGTTTCCGATACTATTCACAAATTTACATGTAACTACAGATGATATAAGACATTATATTGCAGGTATTAAGAAAGATACAAAGGGTCAGTATTAGGGACAGGGTTGAGAATACAAATGTACATGTAGGCTTTTAGGATTACAACAAGTGTTTGGTATAGGGATAAAGTTAAAGGGATTCTGTTACTACACATTTGATTTTATTTTATTTTATCTGATCAAATGAATTCTAGTTAAAACTAAAATAGAAATAGAAATGGGAGAGAGGAACTTGATATTTAGACAGATAGAAAAAAAGTGAAGAACACTGGATTTTAAACAATGGTAAAATTTGTTGTTATACATGTACCGGTAGTAATAAAGTTAATGATGCCAGGGGGGTGTTTCACAAAGATCCTAAGTTGAACTTATCTCTAAGTTGGACTTAAAATTTATGGGAAGCCATTAGCATCCTTGAAAATATTTTGTAATTTTTTTTTTAGAAGGCATAAAATGTTGATTCAAATCATTCATATTTTCTATTATCATGGGAGATTTCATGTTCTTGATGTGGAATTGATGAAAAGTCTAAAATACTCCAAATTTTTGCTTTTGAATATATATTTTATTCTAAGGCTCCAATGGCTGTCCATACTTTTTAAGTCCAACTTAGTGTTAAGTTCTACTTAGGATCTTTGTGAAACACTCCCCAGGTCATGGACAAATTTATAAACAAGTGTACAAAATTATCAATAAAAATGAACACCAGAACACATGTTGTAGAACCTACCATCGTGCAAAACAAATGAACCAACAGGATAACACTCAAATATAATGTGTCTAAATGCTGTGTGTTTTAAAGCCAATATTTTCACAGATGACAGGGATACAGGGCACAAATAGTTGAAGATGAAAATTAGAAAAAGCTACTTATACAGTGAAACCTGTCGATAAAGACAACTCAAAGGAGACAAGAAAAGTGGTCTTTATAGACAGGTGATTACTGAAGCAGCTTCGACTATAATACATGCTTGAACATGCATTGCCATCTCATTTTCGAGTGCTGTTAAATTCATCAATTTGCAAAATTGGGAAAAATAAAGCCCTTTGCAAAAATAATGGCTTAAATACAGGCACAAAAGGGAAGACAATCTATACTTGAGTATTGTAATCAAACACTGGAACAACAAAAATTAGGGTATTAGCTACATGTAACAAGTGGGGAAAGTGCAAAATAATAGTTTGTAAGAAGTTGCATAACCCCTTGGTGTTAAGAAAGAAGATAATATGATTCTATGTGCACATGTACCATGCCCATTATGCATGTACTTAGTATTGATTTTTACCTTGAGTATTGCATCAATGAAGGGTAGTGAAATTCCATTCTAGTATCTCAACTTCTGAATGTTTTACAATACATAAGAGAAATAAATGCATGCACATAATCATTAAATACCTAAACGTGAGTAAATCGTTTGTACTCATTCCTTTGTATGCTGTCATATTTCTAAAGAAGTGTAGCTATCAGAAAGTGGAGGGGTAGAGTGAGTATACCATACACAATCTTTCGTGGAGGTCTAATCGTTGAAAACAAAATTGGGTCTAAACACTTTTAAAAGTAACAGAAAAACTGTGCAGATGTCTTAAATATCGCATTAGAACATTTGGGGCAAAACATCTATATAAATTAGTACACACTTATTAGGTGAGTGCAAATAAGTTCATAATTCCAATCTACATGTATCAGCATGAGAAAATCCTGTGGGTATCAACCTTACACATCCATTAGGTCGAGTCAGATAGGTGCACACAGCCTCATTGAGAGCTGATAGATCACATGATGATTGAATGAAGGCACTCATAATTGGTTTTATGCAACAAAGCTCCTAAAATCTTTAGTAGGGGACAATTTGAGATGCATAAAGCACAGGATCAAAAGTGAAGTAGACTACCTTTAAAACCCATACCTTATAAGCGCTCTCACTTCATAATTATGTATGTTTTTTATATGACGAATTAAATAAATTAAATGAAACTTCAACACACTTGGCATGTAGCCACGGGGGGCCACGGGGGGCCACGGGGGGGGGGGGGGGGGGGGGGGGGGGGGGGGGGGGGGGGCATGTGCCTCCCAAAAATTCCAAGATCGGTTGAACTTTTTTAGACCCCTTTTTTTTTACCTTGATCGATTACATGTGTGTGCCCCCAAAACATCAAACTCTTGCTACGTGCCTGCAACACACGCCTGCATATCAGGTACATAAAATCAATGCATAGTAAGTCTGGACCTTATTGCATGTTCAATATCTATGTATTAAGAAAAACGTGTAATAGTGGCATTAATTGACCCACAAATGATTGCATGCGCTTGACCAATCTTTTGTTAAGGATCTAGGAGCGAGTTGCATGATCAGTTTTACTCATTATTGATTTACGATTATAAAAGTGCAAATTACTCCAAAGATTGACGGGTAACAAACCTTATCGTTTCCTTCTTTTAGAGCTGGTAGTCCAGCAGATAAACCATCCTTGATTTGTTGTGCCTGAGCCTATGGGGTAGTGAAGGGTGAGAGGGAGAGAAAGACAGAATGGCCATCATTAAATCTCTGGGATATTATATGGTTACACCTGTCTATAAAGACCACCCAAGAGAGACAGGAAAAGTGGTCTTTGCAGACAGGTTCCTTTAGTACATGTTTCAATAAGAAACCATTTTAAAGGGAAACAAAAAGTGTGGTCTTTGTCGACAGTTGGTCGCTTAGCCAGGTTTGAGTCTGACTGTTATATTTCCAGCCTGAGACATGCACACTTTGCACAGGTTAAATCATTGTTCATATTACTACATCAATATCTTTGATTCATTGTGTCTTGACCCGTTACATACATTTAGGACAGGGTGACAGAGAGAGAAACATAACATTTCTTGGAAGTTAGAATACTGTAAAGTCTCTCTTAAGTCTTGGGAGCTCGAAAAATTGGATGGCAAAATTTCACGTAAAAGTCATTTAACACACACATCTGCAAGGATTTTCAAAACAAATGTGTTTGAAGACGAACACAAAACCCAAATATGGTATTCTGTCATCAATATTCGTCATCAAACAGATTCGTTTTGAAAATCCTTGCAGAAGTGTGTGTTTAATGACATCCTCTTTCACATCATTATACAATTTAACCCTCTGACTACTGAACTGTTATATTCCCCAGATGTTTAATACAGTAGCCACCCGGTTCCAGTAGACAATGGGTAAAGTTATTTTTTGCCATGATTTTGGGGGAAAATTTGAGGCTCCCAACACTTTAGAGGGGTTTTAAGCTTGAGACAAGTACACTATACACAGGCTGAATTCATGTTGATATCATATCCTAGCATTACAATCCCTGAGTTGTTGCGAGAAAGTACACTTATACATCACTACAAACTATTTGTTTACTTTGCATGGGACTACAAACACATGTGGCATGCAAGTTTTGCCAGCTATTTGTCCTCATATTTCAAATATGAGGGTGTTTGAAGAGCCATCTTTTATCAGGAAACATTCACCGGTATACATAATAATTTGTCAACACCGACATAAAAAATACTGAAACTGCTCACAATTAATTTTTTCTCTCTACCACAACTCAACATTTTCTATTAAAGCCCGTCTGTACTAGTTTGGCCCGGGGATTAGACCTCCCTGCAAGGTCATTGACAGGTGGTTATCTCATCACATCAGCTCTCAATTATCATAAGAAAAGGGGGACCACGGGGGACCAACGGACACGCTTAGGCATTGTTTTCTATATAGAGGGAGCAAGTAGCTACAAGTAGTACTGTGGGGCTTTTAAAAAAATCTTGACTTGCCTGGTTCATATTAACAGCATCCTGTTGGCCTTGTGGCTGTCTGACCCTCACAAAGTTATCCCCCGCTTCGGCCATCTTGGCTTTAGTTTCTTCCAACGTTCTTCTTAACTCCTCTTGGTACTTCTCTAGATCCCCCTCCGTGAATTGAGATTCTTGATTCAAATCCTGCAAAAGAGAAGCAGCCCATTCAGAATGACAAAATGAAAATCTTTGATAATAGTCACATTCGTATAGTGCTTAAAGTAGTCACCCAAAGAATCAGAAGTGTTTTGAATTGATGCAAAATTCATATCATTGCGAAGGGGAAGCCTTACTGATCAAATATAACAACTTCCCTGTTCAAAATATAATTGCGGCCAGCAGTAATCATCTCTCAAAAATGTTAATTTTGAGATCCAGATTATCTGCCTTCAGCGGTCATCTGTAGAGCATCGAGATTTCTGACGTCATGTGCAAGACACAGCTAGCCACAAAATTGCATTTTACGCCTTTCCATGATATTTTCAGCAAATTATTTGTGTTTTTCAAGAGAAAATCTTTCCATCAATATATAATTTGTCCATATAACAGTTGTCATGAATTTCCTTTAGGTGGCTACTTTAATACTAAGTTTCTTAACACTTTACATTGTAATTATCATCACTCCCGTCATTGGATTGGATTCCATAGCTAATCCACACATGATAGTGCACACGTTCCGCTCCCTTTGGAGTATTCTAGCCTGGCACCATTATACCAGCCCGGAATCTTGATGCAGTATAATTTCCAATTAACGCCATCAAACTTTAAGGTAGTATAGTATTTTTTATGCAAAACTGCATGTATAGCAAATGAGCAAATGTACAGAGAGCAAAGAAAGCAACCAAAGTGTTAACCCTATTTAGCCCGGGCTATTTTGAAACTGCATAGCCCGGAGGGGGGGGGGGGGGGGGGGAGCTTCTAAGGCCCCCCCCCTATGATCTCGGCCGTGAAATGCCCGATCGCCGCGAAAATTTGCATACATGTCAAGTGAAGTGTATAGAATACTATGGTAATTTCAATTTTTTGAAAAATTCACTCATTTGCATATTTATGGTAATTTATGCAAATGACGTCATAAAATTCACATTTTTGCCCATAAATCAGACATTATTCATATTTAAGCATTCTTTCTCACTACATATATTTTTTAGACCATTTGGAATAATAATACAACACAAAAAATTGAAAAACCAGGGTTATTCTTTATGTTATCTATTGACTTTGTTTTGATAATTTCTTATGTATTTCTTTGTTTTTTTAACTTATGTATCTTATTGTTTTTGTTGTTTTATTTCATTTCCAACTATTTTGACCCCAAAATAAACACCTAAACTATAAACAAGACCAAATAACCAATACTTTATCTCTTTATTTGAAAAATGAGATTTCCATACGTTTTGTACACAAATCACAAAAATGAGCGATTTTCGGGCTGACATGCAAAGACAAAAGGACATGTGACTTTGTAATGGTAGGTCCGATTTTCGAAAAAATTTCTTTCAAAAGATGCGCAAGACTCAAAAGAAAAAAGTCAAAAAAATTTCAGTGTAAGATTTTCTTGCGTTAAAAAATTATCGCGAAAAATGTCGAGGGGGGGGGGGCTTTGAAAGCCCCCCCCCCCACCGGGCTACATAGAGTTAAGGATATACAGATGGATGCAATAAAGAAAACAAATATTGACTGATTATTGTTTTTTTAAAGGGGCTGTAGCATGGGAAATACTGGTTGATGCAATCTACGTATTCTTTTGGACAACTGCACGTAAACAAATGGACTTGGTTTACCGGGTCAGCGCGCGCTAGCGTTCGCGAAAAAAACGAAGTTCTCCTCATGATCCGGCTTTGCGTAGGTTGCACGCACGTGAATACATAGGCCTACTGCTGTCGCGTCGTTCGTCGTCGTATTATACCCGATTGGCCCCGAGTCAGGCCACAGAAAAAACAAGGAGTCTCGTCATGCTACACTCCCTTTAAGTGTTTAATCTCTTACCTGCCATTCGCTATCTTCCTCAAAGTCTGATGCTGAAGCAGCCTCCATGAACTCAGCTAAACTAACCATCTTATCTTTGTTGTTATCAATCTGGGGAAAAATAAAAACACGAGTTAAGCCTATGGAAATCAGAAAATTTGGCAGTTAGCAGGTTAACAGTGATTTAAAGATAGAAATAATTGTGTTGAAATACAGGATCATAGTACATGTATGTATACCATAACTGCATAGTTATACTTTGTACAATAACTTTGGTAAAAGAATCCAGAAATGCTTCTCTTGAATGTTATTCTTCCACTCAGCCAACAATGCAGGAACACCCATTTTTTCCCCCTGAAAATTTGCTAACACAATCACAGCAATGAATTATCAATACAATTTTATTGCTAGCTATTTTCATTACAAAAATGCAAACACCTGTATAAATTATGTCAAAAAGTAATAATAATACGCAAAACATAATACAACTATTTTTTTTATCACAACTTTTGACTACAACTCTGACAAATGAACAACATTGAAACTGGGATATAAGGATTTATATTTCATGCACATTACTTTACTTCCTTAATACATAAAACACAAAAAGGGGAGCACACAGGCAGCCGATAAGAAAATAATCTACATGTACAAAACAAGGTGTAAAACAGAGTTGCACACATTTGTACTTAAGTTTAAATAACAACCTAAGGGCACTCATATTCCTTTAACATGATGTTTACATGTAGTTTTTTTCTTGATTTTTCATTTCTCTTTAATACGATATGTTAGTCTTTCCTTTCTATCCTCTCTCTTCATTCAAATATTAAGTCTTGATGGATTTTGAATTAGCTGCAGTTTTGTTAGTCTTTTATTAAAGAGGGCTGTTTAAGTACATGTACATGCATGTCTGTACGTTTTATGTACATGGATATTCAAGAGCATTCAGTGTGGAAGGAAACTGATGATTTACATTCCATGAATCCAAATCATAAAATGGAATGAAAAATATTACTATATATTATTAATACAAAATATTTTTGGGTTCAAAAAGCGCTTAAAGCCTATCTGCGCTAGTTTGGGCAGGAGGGATTAGACTGCCCTGCATGGTCACTGACAGGTGATTATCTCATCAAACCAGCTCTCAATTAACATAAGAAAAAGGGGATCATGGTAAACCAACGTTCACCGCAAAGACAGAGGGTGCAAGTAGCTACAAGTAGTGCAGTCCCACTTTAATAGATCAGCGATAAGTGCTTTACAGATACATGATTACCCCGGTCATAGGATTCAACCCTAGTGCTCTGTGCAGTCAAGGAATATCTGCTACCACATACCCACTTATACTACACCAGGGTGGCGAGTGGCAATTGTGGAATTATATCTTGCCAAAGGACGTTTAAGTGCCGGGCTGGGATTGGAACCCCAACCCTTAGGTTGAGAGTCAAGTGAATGAACCACTATACCACGGCACCTGTGGGTGGTGGGTCCTGTATCAAGCCTATGCTAGGGTACGAGAGTCAAGGGATTACCAATGGAAAGGTCATTTACAGGGGTTATCTGATTAATCAGGTGCACAGGAGGGGGTTAAAGGTCAATCTGTATAGGGGTTAACGGTTAATCTGTATAGATACCTGATTGACTACATGTTCCCTCATGCGGGATAATTCTTCAAACTTTTCCTGAACGTCAGCCGTTTTCTGGTCCTTGTAGACTTTTTCCACCTGGTGTTAGTAGTGAGTGTGTACATACAAATGTGCGTAGGTGTGGCATGGCAATGTGTGGGGTGTGACAAGTGTGTATAGGGAGATATGGGAAGAGGGGTAAATAATATGTAGAAATATGAGAGAGAGACAGACAGAGACAGAGAGAGTCAGAAACAGACAGACAGAGACAGAGGAAAAGAAGGACAGATAGACAGTACCAAACAATAAAGTGTGGGATGAACAAAGTATTGCAAAGGAGAAAAGGGTGCAGATAAGGCAATGATAGGAGAGAGAAGAAGAGGGAGTGAGAGGGAGAGAGAGATAGAGAGAGGGAGAGGGGAGAGAGGGAGAGAGAGAGAGGGAGAGAGAGGGAGGGAGAGGGAGAGAGAGAGAGAGAGGGAGAGAGAGGGAGAGAGAGGGAGAGAGAGAGGGAGAGAGAGAGAGGGAGAGAGAAGAGGGAGAGAGAGAGAGGGAGTGGGAGTGGAGAAAGGAGAGGGATATCGGTGGAGCCAGAGAAAAGCATTTTATAAAGCAGATTATAAGAGTTATAAAAATGGCATGCAAAATAAATCAAATAGTAGAAAAATTTATGAGAGAAGAGGTTTTAAAAAGACATATAAAATGAGAGGTTTATTGATGGAAATTACAAAAGAAAAGTTAAGGACAAGATATTTTAGATTGAAGAGGAAAATACGGACATGGGGAAAAACAGAAAACACGGTCACAGAGAGAAGTTTGTTGTGCGCGTTAATGAGAAAAGCAAGGGGATGAAGAAAGAGAAAATAAAAAATGATTTAATTAACAACCAAAATACTGAGGATTATGAATGAAAGCTGGCTTTCTACATTGCAGCCGGTATATATCAACTACCATCCACTTCCTCAAGTTCAAACCATAATTGTATTTGGTCAGTTTTCAAAACCCCTACCAAAAGAGTGAAAACAAACTGAGTCTTTCCAAATTGCCCTCAAGAAGTGATATCAACAGTGATAGAAATATAGATTTAGGTGTTAATTTCACCATAAGATTTTAGAGGTTACTTTGGGTAGGGACTAGGGAATATTGAAAAATTGGATGGTTGGTGTTACACACAGGCTTTCTCTACTAACCCTGCATTACAAATATGTTTCAAAATGCAAGCTTTGTTTATGTGCAGACTTCATTTGGACTGTTCAAATAAGGATGTTTAAATCACATTACAAAAACTTAAATGGATAGCATGTGACAATCTTTCATTTTAAACTTTGTTATTCTTTTTTTATCTCTCTCTCCATTTCATGTAAATGATAGGAGAGTGATGAGTTCATGCCAAAAATGCTCAGATCATACCAAAACAAAATGCAAATTGACATTTTCTTTCAACTTTCTTATCAATCATGTATAAAGCATATAAAGGACCTAGATGATCCTCATACTGTATACTCAGGTATACCTGACACAAGCCTTTGCTTAAATCATAGAATTCATGCCATGTTCCTTGTGTTACTAGTAATATACTCTTCAAAACGTTTTACCAGTGTGTCTTTATGTATATTATTATAATCATTAAACATGCACATGTATACAACTCGCTTGTTTTGAAACATTTTTTGTAATGCAGAAGGCACATGCATATGAGATTGGCTCAGAGTTGTATGAGTATGAACATAGAGGGCAGCAGCACCTGACCTCCTACGACCTCACCTCGTCCATGACATGTTCTCGCATACGAGCGATCTCCTCCATTAACTCCTCTTCTTTGCTTGCATCGTAGCCATAAATCTTGGCCGCCTGATTGGCAACGCAGGCGTTATCAAACAAAATTATCATCATTTGAAGAAACAGAGTGTAATTCAATATAAAATAACTAAGGTTATACATGCATAATTTTGCTGTCACATTAGAAAATGAAAGTGTCATCAGAGAACTTTGTTATCGTTTTTAATAAATAGAAGAAGATAAGTCTACTGAGGGACAGGACAATGTATTTAAACACACATGGCTTATATTCAAAACATTACAAAGTTTCTAAAAAGTGAGTTAGAAATCACTATCATGCAAGACAAGACATTTATAATGAAAGTGTATCAAAAATGTACAATGCATTTTAATGATTTAAAGTCTCGTTCGCTGATGGCATGTACGGCATCAGAAATAGATTTAACTTTTAATTATTATTCTTGTTACTGCTCAAGAATCGGTCTCCAAAACTCTTTAATGAAGTGAGCCTCTAGCTCAAACTCATCAAAAAAGAAAATGCAACATAACAAAAGAAAATAAAACAGAAAGAAAGAAAATGATAAAGAAAGAAAATGATATAGAAAGAAAGAAAATGAAATAGAAAGAAAGAAAATGAAATAGAAAGAAAGAAAATGAAATAAAAAGAAAGAGAATGAAACCAATTGAAACATAAAGAGAAAGTGTAGAAGAAAGGAGAAGGGAAATGGAGGCCGTCAAATCTTCAAACCTCTTTACAGAACAGAATCTCAAAGTAATCTAGAAAAAGAAAAAAAATTTGAGAGAGAGTCAATCAGCGTGTTTCTATTAGTTATACTGAATTTATCCGGTTGAAAAATAAGCGTATAATGCCAGGTAAGGGCAGTTTCTATCTACGCGCATTCCGATTTAGCCAGAAAAAAGGTCACCGCAAAGTATTGTGGGACTGCTAGGTCAACCCAGGATTGTAGTGTCGCGCACGTCGGGGTAAAATATTCCGATCACGTGATCACTGCTATTTCCGGTTTCTCCCCGGTATATGCACTCAATCAGAATGGGGTGTGTTTCTACCTACATGTACGTTATCCGGTTAGCTTCTCCTGCATTATCCTTCTAAAAGAAGGATAATTTTGCCGGTGAACGCGTAAAAGCTCTCCCCGGAAAGTGTGTTTCTATTAGGAAAAATTTATCCCTTATCGGCCATTAACCGGATAATGGCTTTAGATGAGAGAGAAGAAAGAGAATGAAATAGAATAGAAGAGAATAATAGATAAAAACAGAATGAAACAAGAGTACAAAAGAGAGAGAGAGAGGGAGGGAGTTCAGATAAAAGAAAGGCATCCATTTTCAAACCTCTTTAATGAAGAGAGCCTCAAGTTCAAATTCATCCAGGAATCCATCACTGTTGGAGTCGTGCAGATAGAAGAATGTTTTAGGATTGAAGTCTTTCCTGTCTAGATGATCTGTGTTCTCCCAAACCTCCTCTAACTGTTTCTTGCTTCCCTGGAAATGAAATAATAATAATAATAATAATAATAATAATATTGGATATTTATAGAGCGCACATATCCACCATGCATGGTGCTCAAGGCACTCCAACTATTACCCCGGCGCTCACAGCATTCAAGGAATTCCTTCCGACCGTACCAATTTAACATCTGGGTGGATAGTGGCAAATGTAGATGAATATCTTGCCAAAGGACATAAGTGCCGTGGCGGGACTCAAACCTTGGACCCTGTGATACACAGGCTAAGGACTTATCCACTAGACCACAACATCTCTAAATACATATAGGGTAGCTTAGAAAAATGTAGTGGCATAAAAATATGTGTTAGGAATGTAAAATGCATAGATATTGAGAATTACAATTTTAACAGAGAAGTACATGTAGACACCTCCTCTAACTGTTTCTTGCTTCCCTAGAAATGATATAGATATAGGGTAGCTTAGACAAATGTTGTGGCGTGAAAAACATGCCTTCGGAACGCAAAATTCATAATTGTTGAGACTTTTTATTTTAGCACGGAGGTGGATGCACATTGTAAAATACGGAGCTGGTAAATACATGTACTTTCTAGACGGGCTTAATGTTACCCAAGCTCGATTAAAGACCCTATCCGATGAAAATACAACTGGATATAAATAGATAACTGAATGAATGTAGAATACAAATATAAAGGAATAAAAAGTATTTAGCCTTTCATTATTGCACAAAAGCAAATAAAAACCTCATTTCCTGTACCCCTCCAAATTACAGGTCAACAGGACGCTGCGAGCCAAACGTCACGCAGCACATTAATTACATTAAAAATTATTTAAAGAACTAAAACTTTCCACAAATGAACTAGCCCATAATAGCCACAGACTCGTACCAAAAGATATAATTTCATCTGTTGTTATTTCTTGTTTAAAGTCTCTGAATGTCCCGTACGTCACAATCCAAATAGCTTGGGCCTGCCCCTGTATTCTCCTTACCGGATGGTTGAGTTTAGCATGCTGTTTCATCTCTTTCCTTTCCTTCTCATAATTCTCCATGGCCTCTGCTCTCTCCTCCTCGTTCATTCTCCTCATCTCGCTCCTTCTCTTTAGTTCCTTCTCCATCTCGTAGCGTTTGAACTCTTTTCTCCTCTCACGATCGTTCTCCTCCAGATCTTTTGTAGCCTTGAATACAAAAGATGCAGTCCATGGTTATCAATTTGGTGTGCTGCTACCTCTTAGCTTTACAAAATTATGCCTTTTTATTTCATTCCCAACCCGTTATGTAATTTAAAGGGCTTCAACCCATTTTCTTTCAGGATACGTATGTGTTTGTTTGTTTATTTTGATTGAGCTTTTAGGGGGGGGGTAAAGAAATTGTAAACATATGGGGAAAAGATTATAATCTCATTATTATTTTCAAAATTAAACTTATTTGTTTCATATTCATCAACATTTTTCTCTTCTCTTACATGTATATTGTGTACATATAGGAGTCTATACAAAAACCCAATAACTTTGACAATACCACAACATTGCCTGCACAAATGATATCATTTTGAATACATTCTCATAAGGAAAGCAGGTTTGACTGCACTATTATATGTGTGCCTACACTTTTATATGGTTATATGCATCAGCAGTACTGGCATGTTAATTACACTATAGAGACAATAACATTTCAAATGTGTGTTACCACAAAATTAGTGCCTCAAATCCCATGCATTAATCATAAAATTGGCAATTTCCAAAAATGTATGAGAGAAATTTAGATGATTAAATATTAGAGACCAAAAATCCCAGGGATTATCATGAGGATTTACATGCAAGATACAAAGGCTTCATTAGAGAATCCCAAATTGTGTATGCAAGTATAAATGTATTCAAAACGTTTCATGAACCAAGTGAAAAGTGGTAAATTTGTGAAATTCAAATTGTTAAGAAAAGGAGAACAGTGCAATAAAAAATGCCATAAAAAGGGGAAGTGATCAATGTAAAAGTGAATAAAATTCAAATACCATACATTTCAGAAACCTGTATGCCTACAAAGGCCTAAGTTTAATGCAAACAGAGAGTTAACAGTGCTTTTAAAAACTTTTTAAAAAATATTGAAGGACATTTCCTCAACAATTTATTTTCATATATATTCTTTTCATGATCTCTTTGATCGTTACCTTACACCACCCCCCCCCCCCCTTCCCCCTTGCCCTCATCTCTTCCAAATTCAATATTACCGTCAGTTTGTTAAGAGCTTTATTTTGAATGGTAATATCAATGGTTTGGTCTCATTGAAAAGAAACAAAAGATTAATGATAGTTTTGATATTATCACAAATTCCAAAATTTCACAATACATACATGTATGCTGTAATGATCTTGAATGCTTTGGTTATACATGTACATGTACATGTACATACACATTGCATATAACAAGACTTACTAAAACAAGAAATTATAAAAACTAAAAAGTCATTTTCTTGAACAGTTGCAAGCATGCATCAATATCATACAATACAACTAACATTAAAAGCAATGTCTCACACCCTGAAATTTATAGCAAAAGAAACGATGATGCATTGAAATAATAAAACATAACACGGGCAAAACTATAAAGATGTACATCTACCAGTTCTTCCTTTCTACATTTACATACATGTACATGTTCTGATTCTTTCTTTCTCAGGGATTTGTTGTTTTCAGGGGAAATTTTTGTGTTTTGCTCTAGCGTTCCTATCCTACACTTTATCAGAGCATAAATGTACTGCATGAAAACACCACCAGCTATTATTTCTTCGACATTTTCTGGAAATTACCACGAAACAGTAACATTATCCCCTGCAAATGCCTTACAATCATGATGCACTTCCAACTACTAGTTCGAAAACTAGCATGAACTTGATAGTGAATCTACATTGATTTACTTTTATTTTAACTTGTTGCCTCCACAAATAAAAGAAAATAGGGCCGTTCAGAAATAATCATCCCATTAAAACCACACTATTTGACCCCCAGTTACCTAAAACTTTAAGTTCATTGGCAATGTTGTCAGCCAGAATAAAGCCATGAGTTTTAGCTACCATCACCCCCGAAACAAACCAAAAGTCGAGTCAATGTCACCCCCATCTAGCCCATGCACCAATCTTTGTTAGCAGGCAGTGGTACGACTATGAGAGTCATTGTACATGTATATAAATTAAAACTACACTGCAAGTATACTACTCTTTACAATGTTCCGATGCATGACTTTAAGTGGGAGATTAATACTACCAATGGCCATGAGAGGAGTTATGTGAAACCTGCCCCAGTGTGTTAATGTACCTTTTGCAAGAGGTTATTTAGGTCCTGTTCCTCAAAAGTGTGCTCGTTCCCAAAATCAATATGGGCTATCATGTCCATGAGATGGGTTTGGCTTACATCATCATCTAGAAATACATAGCACCATAGAGAGATCGATTGATTGATAGAGAGATTGATTGATAGATGGATTGAAGAAGGAGATCAATAAATGACGATGGATAAATTAGAACAATAGAGATCCAGATAGATTGATAACATGATGGATAGGTGGACATAATGATTGATACATGTAGAATGATAAAATGTAGAGAAAGAGAGAAAAAAAGAGAGAATGTGTCATAAAAGAAAGAGACAGAAAAAGCAGACAGTAACTAACGTATGTGCAGGGAAAACAATGGCCCAAAACATGTTACAATTTGAGACATAACCATTACAAATTCGCACGTAACCATTTCAAAACACTATAGTTTTTTACTTGTCCAATCAACTGATATGACAGTCACAAACAGGCATAGACATGTACAAGTACATGGTAACTCTGATTGGATGAAAGAACGTCTGAAAAATGAACTGAAACATGAACAAACATGAAATACATCATGTATTCTCTATAAAATGAGTAAATTATTTTTCTTTTGAATGCCAGGGGATTCCTGCCAAAGTCCAAGTTCAATTTGCCTTGCGCACTACTGACTGCATCATCTGGTGCCATGGTAACACTTTATAGAAAGAAATGTACAAATTAAGACCTTCTATACGATAGTGCAATCATAGCATTTGATTGGTTGAGAACAAATTTGTTTTAGAAATTTAGCATTTGTTGTTGATAACAAGTTTTATGAAACAAGGCCCTGTACATGTAGTCCTATGTAAAATGAAAAGAGGTTGGTGCAAAAGAAAAGAAGTAGAATTGAGTGCATGTTGACATCCGGGAAGGAGTTGCTGATGAGAAAAAGATACAAGAATCAGCTTTTACCCCAGTGGAAACCTAGAATGTTAAAATTATCAAGAATTAGCTTATACCCCAGTGGAAACCTAGAATGTTAAAATGATCAAGAATTAGCTTATACCCCAGTGGAAACCTAGAATGTTAAAATGATCAAGAATTAGCTCATACCCCAGTGGAAACCTAGAATGTTAAAATGATAAACGAATTAGCTTTTACCTCGGTGGAAACCTAGATTGTTAAAAAGAGATAGGAAGAAGAAACTGAATAAGTTAAAAATGATGAGATGGATTGCTTGAAATGCTATCGGTATTAGTACAATCCTTAGTTAATTCTATATGAATGAATTAAACTAGTGATGCTACATGACAATTATGCAGAAGAAGTAGCTCCACATATCCAAATTAGTTTAACTAAGAAAATGTAAATGTAAAACATACAAGAATTAGTTTCAAACCCCAGTCGAAACCTAGACTTTTAAAAAAGAAACAGGAAGAAGAGACCGAATTAGTCAAAATGATAAGATGGAATGTGTGAATTGCATTAACAAATTAGTTTTACTAAGAAAATGTTAATTTAAAAGTGCAAACTAAGGTTTTAATACCCTTCAACCCATAAAGAGGATAAACTGTAAAACTAGATGTAGATACTCTGAACCTAATATGATTGATTTTGTTACAATACAAATTGTGTACATACCCCAGCTTGTGTTAATTAATCATTTAACATAATCATTTTCTAAAAGTTAATCATTAAGGAATGGCAGAAGTGGGAATTAGGTCTGTTAATGTAGAGGGAATGTTAACATTGAATTATGTTAGCAGGCAAAAAGTACATGTCCACCACAAATAAATGGTGACCATATTGCAAAAAAATTGATTTTACCACAATGAAAATAATGTAAAATCAATATTTTAAAATCAAAAGAAGCAGATGGTATCAAAGTGTTGTGGCATATGAAAACAGCACACATGCGCCAAACACACAAAATAAACAGCATCCAAATGTCAAACAAACAAAACAGTGGGATGTCAAACACATACAGCCAAAATGGGGACTAAATAACATTGTGGTGCCACATGTAGACATTTGTGTTAGTTCTTGTTAATCTTAAACAGCATAGCAGTGGGAGATCATACACATACATGTACAGTCAATGTGGGGAGTAAATCACATTGCGGTACCACATATAGACATTCCTGTTAGTAGTTGTCTACCTTCTGTATGAGTTTAGTAATATCATCTGGGCTAAAGGCATCCATTGATGAGGGGTCAAGATGACCGATGAGATTGTCCAAGAACTTCTGATCGGCCGGCTTTGCCTTCCCAACTTGGGTTTAGGAATTAAAGAGAGATGCATGCAAGAATCATGGAAACAAACCAAATAATCAATGAGAAAACAAAAATAAGGCAGTATATTAGTGACATGTTCAACGCAATATCACAGCAAGGGGGGAAAGGGTATGGTGATATCTGTAGGCAATTGATTTAATGAAGAAAAAGAATGTCTCATATATATGTACGTGTCTCATTCAACAGGCTTTACAAATCAAATCGAGCTTGCTGAATTTAAGAGTATTATGCAAACATCTTGTAGATTACATGTAGATAATATAAGATTTCCAAATAAGTTTGATCAAATATCCAACAAAAGAGTGTGAAATACAAAGTAATTACATGCAGGCACAATTTTTTATTCATTGTATAAACACACTGCATTACAATGTCCTAGGATAGGAAACACTGTTTCAAGGGAAATAAAGAATATGGTCTTTATAGACAATGGTCTTTACAGACAGGGGATTTCTTATTATTAAAAAGCAGCTTACACTGTTATTCATACATGTATATTTTTAATAGACCACTTCTTAGTTAGCACATGGGCAATTCCACGGTAACAGAACGACACTCAGACAAGATTTTTGAACTTCAGGTTCATACTAAAAGAACTGTTTTATTAGTATAAGATGTGAAACAGTACAGATATAATACCTATATAAGTGCCTTTAATTCTCCCCAAAAAAATTGTCATTATAGTTAAGTAGTTTAAGAATGTGCATATTAATTATCTCGGTAACGGTAGGACATAAAAATGGACATGGTTTTTCCAGTTAATTAGTGTTTATCCAAACTTTGTGAAGTTGATGAAGCTTTCCACTTGACTGAAACACATTTTGTTCCCCATAGTTTAATACATACTAATAAAACATTTCTTTTAGTATGAACCTGAAGTTCAAAAATCTTGTCTGAGTGTCCTTCCGTTACCGTGGAATTGCCCACATGGGTAAAATGACCCCAAATATCCACAGATCTTTTACTCATGGAGAAGTCCCACTTTGTGTATTTTAGAATAATCAATGCCAAAGTCATGTACTGTATGTGCTTCATGAAAAGCTTTTGTTTGCCCTCTTGTTTCATAAGAATGTACCGTAGGTGCACACATGAATAATGATTATATAACATGAGCCTGTCAATGGGTTTTACAATTTTATCAGAATTGACCTTTATCTGCCCATGCGCAGATAGAATTTACGAAAGAAATGAATAATATGTTGCCAATTTGAAGAGAAAGAGCCGACAATTTCTGCCTTCGACATTTTGTTGACCATCAAAACACTACTTACGTGCTTGTTGTTCCATGGCTTTCCTCGCGATGATCCGAAGACGTTGAATCTCCTTTTTCTTGAGCTCATCTAGTTGGCCTCGGATATGACTACCAACATTGTTTAGCTGCTTCCCAAATTTACCAGTCTAGAAAACAAAAAAGATGGACCACAAAATTAGTCATGAATTTAAAGATTTTAATGTCATGTTTGATAATTTTAGTCAGTATTGTTTGTTTGAGTGATGACTCATGTTGGGTTTAATTGTAGAGTGGGGGCAATTTTTGTAGTCTCTTTTCACATAATAATTGTTAGTTGATGTTTTTTCATTTTTTATCTTGATTTGCATAACTATGTATTCTATATATTTTGCTTTGTAAATCACATACATTGCACAGCTTTAGCCCTTGGGTTGCATATTTAGTATTTAAGTTTCTTCATTAAATGACTATAATCTAATTTACTCAATCAACCAATTTATTCATACCAACAGAAAATTATTAAAATGGGTTTCAACAGATGTCTGCGTACACTTTGTCTGTTTTGTTGGTTTCATGACTTTCTTGCATTTGATGCCTGGAAATTAAAAAAAAGGTAAATATTCATAAGTTGGCAATACCTTCAAACATTTTAAGTCATTGGTTTTCTATCGAAAATGGCAATTTTGTTCAACTTTTTTGACAATATTCTCACCCATTTATATTGTTTCCAGATATGTTTCATAATGTAAATATGACTGTTTCCAGTTTGAAGAATAATACGGGATTAATGTACCGGTATTAAACCCTAAAAATAATTCTGGTCCTGTAAAATTAAGGGTTAAAGAGATGATATGAGACTTACAAGTAAATCATTTGTGTCCATTTCATCCATGTGGCTTTTCATCTCTGGGTCAGCTTCCAAGACTTGGATGACCTCTCGTAGATAGCCTTCATATTCAAGACCAAGATCCTGCCAGGAGGACAGATGGGATTTAAAAGAACAAACAGATACCATTATAACAATAACTGTAATACCTAAGCTTTCATTCAAACAAATTGATATGGGGTACTCACTTTGTTTTGTTGTTGTTTTTTGTCTCTGTTAATAGAATCCACATTTATTTGTACCAACTACTTTGTGTAATCATTGCAAAATAAGAAATATATGTGATATATGAAAGAATAAAACTGAAACTGAAACACTTCAAATCATGCCTCAAAAAGTACCAATTTCAGCAAATGTGAAATTACTGACTTCATCTGAGAAATCTGCAACTTTTAATGCCGCTTTAAACAGAATTGTGGCAACACCTAGTGCTGTGATCCATCACTTTACTCAATACTTACGGCTATTCCATCACCCTCGGCTATGTTGAGTATTTCCTCTCCTGCGATTCCTTCTCCCTCGTCTCGATCGCGATCTTCCTCCGCTGGCTTAGGATCCACAGGGGCCTGCTGGGCTACATGCACAATCAGCAGCAGTAACAACGGTAGCTTCCATTCCAACATGCCCATTGTGGTGTGACTAGTAATGTTTAAAGACAAAACATCATTTAGAATATTACAGGCAAACCAGAGCTTTAATCTAGATCTAGATCTATAGGGAAAGCAGATGGGAAATGAGAAGAATTATTGAAGTAATACAATTGAACTTGAAGAAAGAGAAGAAATTGACAGACGTGAGAGAAGAAAGAAAAAGAAGGCGAAGAAGAAGTAGATTCTAGTACTAGAAGAAGAAGAAGAAGAAGAAGAAGAAGAAGAAGAAGAGGAAGAAGAAGAAGAAGAAAAAAGAAGAAGAAGAAGAAAAAGAAGAAGAAAAAGAAGAAGAAGAAGAAGAAGAAGAAGAAGAAGAAGAAGAAGAGGAAGAGGAAGAGGAAGAGGAAGAGGAAGAGGAAGAGGAAGAGGAAGAGGAACACGAGGAAGAAGAAGAAGAAGAAGAAGAAGAAGAAGAAGAAGAAGAAGAAGAAGAAGAAGAAGAGGAAGAGGAAGAGGAAGAGGAAGAGGAAGAGGAAGAGGAAGAGGAAGAGGAACACGAGGAAGAAGAAGAAGAAGAAGAAGAAGAAGAAAAAGAAGAAGAAGAAGAAGAATTCCATAGATATTCAACAGCAATTAGCCTGTCACTAGGCTAAATTACCACAACCAAATTTCAAACTCAAAGTCTCAAAGTCAAAGAGTCATTAAATTTCAACAACCAACCAACCAAACACACAAACACCATCGCATACGACTGGGACTACATGTAGAGGGTCTAGATCAAATACAATATTGTCGCCCCCGAAAATACCAAAATACGATTATATTGAATCCAAATGATTAACAATAACATCAAGAGAAATTCAGAATGAAAAAATCAGCATACCTTGGACAAACGTATCACTATCAGCTGCGAATAGATTAGTCGTCTGTCGGCTTTGCCTTGGCTTAACGCTTGGGAACGTCACTTGTCATACGTGTACCAAAGACGATAGCTGATGATATCGATACCTTTTGATATCGGCAAAAGTTGTTGTAAGCTAGCTAAGGTCAAGGTCATTTTATATTTTGAAGGATTGCCATTTGTTAACACCAGGAAATCATTGCTTGATATCAAGAATTTAATTCTTGATATTAGTTCCAGGGGCGGATCTAGCTTTTTGCTCAGGGGGGGGGGGGGGTTGACCAATAACGACGATGCGGAGCATCGTCCACGAGCCGCGAAGCGGCGCGGCGAGCCGATTTTTTGGGGGTGTTTATTTGAACCCCGTAAGTGATGTTTTCCTGGCATCTATTAACACAATGGAGACCATAAAAAGCAGTGCATGATAACGTCTTTTTAAATCAAGTAACAGTTAAATACACAGTTATATCCAGAGTTATCATGTGTTTGGTTAAGTTACCAGATGAGTTGAATATCTTCTCACAATATTTGCACTTGAAAGGGTTTCTCTCCAGCGTGCGTTCTTTTTTCTTTCTTTTTTTTTTTTTTTTTTTTTTTTTTTTTTTTCCTTTTTTTTTTTTTTTTTTTTTTTAATGTGGGGATTTTGGGGATGAGAATCGGCAACGTTGGCCTAGCTTGTCACTTCGGCGGTGGCCCGTGTCCTCAAAAAAGCCGATGGGGGGGGGGGGGGGGGGGGGGGGGGGGGGGGGGGGGGGGGGGGGGGGGGGACCCCCCCCCCCCCCCCCCCCCCCCCCCCCCCCCCCCCCCCCCCCTCCCCCCAAAAAGAAATAATAATAATAATAATAATAATAATAATAATAATAATAATAAATGAAATAAATACATAGAAATAGAATAAAATAAAATTACAAGTTTAAAAAAAAAGATAAGATTTAAAAAAATGGTCCCCGGATATATCCGAGGATGATGTTCTCAATGTTATCAAGGAAAGCCCATCTAAATCATGTCGACTAGATCCTGCCCCCACCTGGCTCATCAAGAAATGTATTGATGTTCTTATCCCTTTCTTCACTAAACTTGTGAACCTTTCACTTTCTTCTGGGATTGTTCCTTCCTCATTCAAGACTTCACATGTCATCCCAATCTTGAAAAAACCTAAGTTAGATGTAGAAAACATGGCAAACTATCGGCCGATTGCCAACCTGATGTTCCTTTCAAAAGTCTTAGAACGGATTGTTGCCAATCAACTAAGGGCTTACCTTCAGGAGTTTCAGCTCTTTCCTCCTATGCAGTCGGCATATCGCGAGGGTCATTCCACAGAAACTGCTCTCCTTAGGGTTTACAATGACATCTTGCTAGCGTTAGATAAAGGACAGGAGGCCATTCTGGTGCTGCTTGATTATTCAGCAGCCTTTGATACCATCAACCATGACACGCTGATTCAACGCTTCAGTCACACATACGGCATAGAAGGTTCTGCTCTAAAGTGGCTCAAGTCATACCTCGAGAACCGGAAGCAACTTGTAATCGTAAACGGAGCCAAATCAGATGAATTCCCTCTAACTTGGGGGGTACCGCAGGGCTCAGTAATGGGACCTTTGGAATTTGTTCTATATACTGGTCCTGTGAGTGACGTCATCGCAGCCCACAAAGGTATAAGCCACATGTTGTATGCTGATGACACCCAGTTGTACATCGTTATGCAACGCAATGACCTGACTGATGGCATCTCGTCTTTGGAAGACTGCGTGACAGATGTGAAGTCTTGGGCTAGTAACAATAACATGATGCTCAATGCAAACAAGACTGAGCTCATCCACATTACATCACAATTTAGGAAACGGAACGAGTCTGTCAGCCTTCACATAGACGGAGCTGTTATCACTGCGACCAATTCTGCAAGAGATCTGGGTGTTATCGTTGATAACTCGTTAGACCTAAGAGAGCACATCCGAAAGGTGTGTCGGGCAGCTAGCTTCGGTGTTTATAGGATTGGGAAAATCCGGAAATACCTTGATCGCAGCTCTACTGAACGACTAGTTAATGCATTGGTTACTTCCCATTTAGACTATTGTAATTCATTATTGATCAACTTACCTGCTTCTCATCTGGCCCCACTTCAACACATACAAAACACCGCTGCACGTCTCATCACTCGCACTAGAAAGCACGACCACATCACTCCAGTCATCCGCACCCTACATTGGCTCTTAATTCCCCAACGTATCCAATTCAAGATCCTTCTCCTCACGTTCAACATCATCCATCATCGCGCACCGTCATACCTGATTGAACTGATCTCACCCAAACAGACTACCGGCATGAACCTTCGATCATCATCCAGACCCCAGCTCGCACTTGGTCCTCGCACCCACAACCGCTATGGTGACAGGGCCTTCTCAGTCTGTGCTCCCACTCTTTGGAACACTCTCCCCGCCCATATTCCAGGACTCACCCACCATTGACATTTTCAAAAAGAATCTAAAAACTCATCTTTTCCAAAAGCAACCCAAATAACTCTAAAATAAGTTCGAATAAATATTACCATGCCTTTATTATGTCTTTTTAAATTATTGCTATTACTGATAAAATGTTAATTTCCAAGGAATTTACATGTTTTGTTAATTTCTTTAGTAATGTTAATAATGGTTAATCTTCTTGGTAATTTAAGTAATGTTAAGTTGTTAAGTTATGTTAGAAATATTTGATATTCTTGTTAATTTAAGTAATGATAATTTGTTAAGTTATGTTAGTAATATTTTGTTTTCTTGGTAATTTGAGTAATGTTAATTCCATTAGTAATATTGATTTTTGTTTTAAGTAATTTTGATTTGTGTACATGTACAGCGCTTTGAAACTTTTGTCACAAGCGCTATATAAATTTGTCATATTATTATTATTATTATTATTATATTGCACAAATTCACATTTGATTTCGAGCGCAAAAGTAACGCAACAATTCATTCTGATTTGAAGGGGACGTGGGTTCCGGGTGCAGGGGGCCACAAGGTATACGGATGCTTAGAAGTTTAATTAAACTAACAGAGAAATTAAGAATACGATTCGTTACATGCCGTTCTCGACTCCTAATCCTTGTCTGAATTCAGTTTTCCCCCTCCGGCCGTATGAAGCGCGGAAGCTTTAAAATTTCGTTAAATTAAGAGAAAGGAGACGATTTGTTGCACCGCTCTACTCTTAATCCTCGAGTTAGTCGAGTGTTTAAATCAAGTTTTCCCACTCCCGCGCAAAGCGCGGAAGCTGACCTACCTTTCATTGCATTATTAGAGAAAGAAGACGATTAATCCGCGACAGGGGCGTCTCCAAAGGGGGGGGGGGGTGTGGGGTGCGACACCCCCCCCCCCCCCCACACCCGTCAGGATATTGTCGGTAAAATTGCGCTGCCGTCGGGAAAAAAAGAGAAGAGGGGGAGGGGGGGGGAAAGGGAAAGAGAAAGAAAAGAAGAAAAAAAAGAAAAGGAAAAGAAAAGAAAGAAAGGAAAACGAAAGAAAAGAATGGAAAAGAAAGGAAAGAAAAGAGAAGAAAGAAAGAGAAAAAGAAACAGAGGGAGGAGAGGAAAGAAAGGAAAAGAAAAAAAAAAGAATTAAAAGAAGAAAAAGGAGAAAAGGGAACTGACAAAAGAAACGGGGGGTGAGGGGAGGTAAGAGTCTGAGAGAGGAGGAGTGGGTGTAAAAGAGAGAGAGGGGGGGCTGTTGGGTGGGGTCGTCTCGTCGAGGGAGCAAGAAAGACACCGGTAAATATTTTGGTGTGTCGGGTCAGCTGTGTCGGTATTCTTGCTCAATCCTCGTGTACTATATCAATGCAGAAGTTTGAAGTCAGTGAGATGTATATATTTTTCCCTACGAACTGTGACTTTTTATCCGCTGTGACGACTTCGAGAATGACTACAACTACAATACTTGTATTTTCTCGGAGTCTCACTTTCCTATAATGTCAGCTAAAGAAATCAGAGGTTTAACATTTTCGGGGAAACTAAATTCAAACAAGGATTAAGAGTCAACAAAGGTACAACGAATCGTCTTTCTCTATATTTTGATAAACGCCAAAGCTTCCACGCTTCGCGCGGGAGGAGGGAAACAGATTTTAGACAACTTAGGGTTAAGAGTCGCGAACGGTACAACGAATCGTCTGCTTTCTCTAATAATTTAAGGAAACGTCAAAGCTTCCGTGCTTCGCGCGAGAGGGGAAAACTGAATTCAGACAAATAGGGATTATTATAAGAGTAGAAAACGGTACTCGTCTGCTCTCTCTAAAAAAATTAGGAAACGTCATAGCTTCCGCGCTTCGCGCTAAAGGGGGAAACTGAATTCAGACAATTAGGGTTATTAAGAGTTGAAAACGGTTCAACGAATCGTCTTCTTTCTCTAATAATTTGATGAAACGTCAAAACTTCCACGCTTTGCGCGGGAGGGTGAGAAACTGAATTCAGACAAGGATTACCAGTTGAGAACGGTACAGCAAATCGTCTTGTTTTGAAAATAATTTAATGGAATGTCAAAGCTTTCGCGCTTCGCGCGGGAGGGGGGAAAACTTTATTCAGACAAGGATTAACAGTCGAGAACGGTACAATAAATCGTCTTCTTTTCCTAATAATTAAAGGAAACGTCATAGCTTCCGCGCTTCGCGCGGGAGCCCTATCACACATCTCCCCTTATGAGCGCGAGTCGCTTGCTCACTACCGCCCCTCCCTAAAATAAGATCCTAGCTCCGCGCCTGCATTGAAATATATAGGCTAAGATGCTGACTAAGTTGACGAAATAATTCGTATATTTATGTCGTCGAGGAAAATGACCACTTGCGCATACACAAGTATATACTATAGATAGTCCATAGGAAAAACAATTTAGCCTTCGGCCCCGGGCTTATAGGGTTAATTTTGTACATATTAGGACATTTAATTTTGTCGGTATGATTGGTGGCCTCTACACCGCCCCCCACTGAAAAAGGTCTAGCGACGCCCCTGATCCTCGAGTGTCTATATCCATACAGTTCCCCCTTCCCGTTCGAAGCGCAGAAGCTTTGACGTTTCATTAAATAAATAGAGAAAGGAGACGATTCGTCCCCCCTTTCTCTACTCTTAATCCTCGAGTATATA